ACCCATGTGACTTCATGAACTTTTCCACCCAAATTCTGATCAATAGCTTAATGCCTCGACCAAACTCCTAACTGCGTCTACTCATCCACCTTTATATAACTAAGGCCTGGCTTCCCTTCGATTCCACGGACACACAACAATAGCTCATCTTCTGTTCATAGTTCTCTTAGTTCATTTCCCTCTCCAATGTTTATGATTTGAAGAACTATCGCTATGATCGTGATTTGGGCTATTGTATTGGCTATGCATTTTGATAGTAAAATGACAATAAAAGATTAACTCCCCGTATTATTTACAATAATATTTAAAAATCACACGTCACACATAGAGACCCTTAGTGGGAGGCTAGAGGGGAGTGGGCTTCCAAGGAGGGACGTCTTCTTACTTGAGGGAGGTCGGCGGGGAGTGGGCTTGCCGCAATGGGTGCCTGTTGGTAGTGGCGGTGGCGGCTTCCTCCATCGAGGCAGGAAGGGAGAACGGCCGCCACGGTGGGCAGCCTTTGGTGGTGGCGGTAGCGACTTCCTCCACCGAGGTTGGAGGGCAGTGCGGCCGTCGCGTTGGGTGGCCGTTGGTGGCCATGGCAGCGGCGACTTCCTCCAGTGAGGCTAGAGGGGAGTGGGGCCGCCATGGTGGGCGCCCGTTATTGGCAGCGGCGGCTTCCTTCACAAAGGCGGGAGGGGAGTGCGGCCGCCACGGTGGGGGGTCGGTGGCAGCGGCGGCTTCCTCCAATGAGGCCGGAGGGGAGTGCGGCCACCACGGTGTGTAGCTGTTGGCGGCGGCGGCGGCTTTTCTCATCACCACTAATAATTGTACATCATGTGAGCAATTTGAAATTACTTTTCAAATTCAAAATGATTTCCTCCATATATAGGGATAAGCGTTATGAAGATAGCACACCATGGAGTTTGTTTTCAAATTCAATATCGCCGGCCAGAAGAAAAAGAAAAAGAAAAAGGAAGAAAAGAAAAGAAAAGAAAAGAAAAGAATAAATAATTCGATTTTTTTAAAAATAACAAAAAATGTTTTTTTAAAATAAAAAAAATAAAAATCGATTTTTTTAAATAAATATTTTTATAAGAACAAACGTTTCATTAACTAAGGATTCGAGCCCGAGCGCCGAGTACTTGCACACGGCCTTTGTGGAGTCGAGCCAGAGGGTCAGGACTAGAACTCAAGCATCGGGGACCTGAGCATGGCCTTTATGGACCCGAGGTCGGGTGTCGGAGCATCGGGTACGGGTACTAGGGGTTGGGCTTAGCCTCGATGGACCCAGAAGTAGGCATCGGGGGCCCAGGCCCCAGACACCGAGGTTTCGAGCCTAGTCGCCAAGACCTGGTCCTGAATGTCGGGACTCGGGAAACAACGTTGGGGTTTTCGTGCCTAAGCATAGAGTTTCGTGTCCAAGCGTCAATAGCTAGTCATACTTCGGAAAATGTTTTCCGGTTCTTTCAAAGAGAAAATCATTTTCTTGAATTTAAGCTTTGATAAAGAAACCTTTTCCGTTGACTAGGAAAAAATTTTCCGTTAACTCATTTTCCCAAGCAAACCAAATGCCAAAAAATGAGGAAAGTGTTTTCCCAGAAAATGTTTTCCGCGAAACTAACGACCCTTAATTACCATGTAAATCATTTGCGATAATTTGTGGCAGAGCTAGGGGATCAGTTGATTAACACACGAGATGTTTATAAATAAAAATATTTTCGATTTAGGGGATCAATTTGCAAATTTTAGATGGATATATCACAATATGATGCTATATGAGCTCAATGGGTGTATATACAAATTATTTTATGAAATAATTTGTGCGATAAACTAGGAAGAACATGATCAATCTATCTACTTCACTAACGCTGATGCCCAGAAGAAATAAGTGGGAAATTACCAGAATAGTCCTAAATCTATCGTATTTGTGCTAGTTCAGTCCTAAACTTTTCAATTTAGTCAATTGAGTCATAAACCTTGTCACGATCGGTGAAAGAAGTTCACAATTCATGTTATGTGAGTTCCGAAGCATGTAGACAAATTTTATGACAGTTTTACTACAGTTGTCTCTTGTTATTTACGAAACCCCTATCAAATTGTACTGCAAATAAATACCAATTAATTCCAGAGCTCTAATTTAAATTCGTCGGGAGTAAGATGTCAAGGGACTTTAAGTTTTGTTTTGTGAATATCACAAGGATTATGTGGTGCGTTTCCCATATGACATTAATATTGCCGGATCATTATTTTGTGATGACATAATGGAAGTGGAGATTTTAGTAAACGACTGCATTACCAAATATTTTTGCTTGAATTTATCGTGTACTTTGAACTTGTTTGAGCATATTATATATTCCTAATGATTTTGTCAGTTGGATTCATTGGTATGGCCCTTTTTCTTATCTCTTCTAGCCATTAGTTTAAGTTAAGTAGATAGACTGATAATTTTCTTCCTAGTTTATCGAACAAATTGGTTTATGAAATCATTAGTATTTATACCCACTGAGCTTATGGTTATATTTTGTCAAAAATTTGCAAATTAATCCCCTAAATTGAAGTATATTCATGTTTGTAAACGTCTCTTGTTTTAATCCATTACTTCCCTGGCTCCGCCACTGATTGTTGAAGAAGATTTAAAAGGTACTTAAGTTGTTAGTAGAATTGCTTCTCATGAAATCATTCTATAACAATGAAATCTTAGAGTTCAAATCGTCTAAGACACGAAAATAAGAAGAAAGAGAAAGGATTATATATATATAATCACCGAAAAAGAAATATGATATTGAGAAAAAAAGATGATTGCCTACTTCTTCCAAACTTTGTACAAAATTTCAGTCGGCCAAGGAACCGTCACGGCAGAATTTCAAAGACAAGGGAAACACATGCACTTTCCATGGAAAAAAAGGGCAACCGTGCCTTATTTCAAGGTCAACTTTAGTCCTCGTCTTTTTACCCAGAATGACCATAACGCGCAACTCTTCGATGCCATATTTTCTTTTTCCTTTTTTGCTGTTATCGTTAGCAAAAAGTAATCTCGAGAAAAATAATACTACAAGTGGCATAATTTTTATATAACGTTCATTTCAATGCCATAATTTTTTTTCGAATTATTTATTTATTTATTCTGTTTTTTTATTTTTATTTTTCATTTCTTATCATTTCCTTCTTTTTTTAGTGTGGCCAGCGAGGGTGGCCGGGCCTCATCGATGTCTGGCGGAGGTCGCCAGCATTGGGCTAGGCATGCCCGATCTAGCGAAGGGCGGCCCTCGCTAGAGGCTGGCGGCGGTCGCCGGCCATCGATGAGGACTGGCGATGGCTAGCGGAGGGAAAAGGGGAAAAAGAAAAAAGGAAAGAAGGAAAAGAGAAGAAAAGAAAAAATAATAAATAATAAATAAAAATTATTAAAAATTATTCACGTCAACGTCGATCGTATCACATAGGACAACTTGCATCCACGTTAGTGATTTCTGGCCAAAATTAGCCAGATATACTTAATTGGCAAAACGTGAAAATGTTTGGCACAATGAAAAGGTTTAGGACTAATTGATAAAAGTACAATATGTTTATGGCTTTTTGGACAATTTTCCCGGCTTTTCATGACGTAAAACAATTTAAATAATCTATATTATGCTCGAAATCTTTTCGTATTAACTAGCTCTTCATGCTTTTTTTGAAATATCACGATATTGCTATCTCTAACTGTCCAATAAAATATCTTGAAAATTGCAGTATTCGAACGCTATGAGGAACTATGATAACAGAGTTTTCTAGAGCAAGAGCTTAGAAATTTTTCATATGGAGAAAACGCGAGGGCAGGTTGACGTTTAATTTTTCTGGTTACATGATAAATAATCACTTTCATTGGTCGCATTAATCAAGTATAAACTCTTATTAAATGAAGTGGCTCGTACATGGTGATGAAACTCACAACCAGCTCTTAATTACATTGGCCGAGGGTATAGGTGATTAATAATTAATATAGAATTTCAAATGGGAATACGAAGATTAAATGTAAGTCAAGCGGCTACAAAAAACCAAAGCTTGAACCCGTTTTATGATTTATGGATGAGCTGGACCGGACTTTCACTTCCTCCTTCGTGCCCCAGTTCATAACCCAACCCCCGAACTCTCTCACTAATTTGACAAGTCGGTCCATGGAGTCGCCCACTCTTCAAAGGCAATAATTTAAAGAGAAAAGTTGCTTAAAATGGATTTTAAGTCGGGTGGGGTTTTAGTCAAGTACGGATTGGGTCGGTATGAGTCGCTAAATTTGTATTGGATATAAATAGATCAAAACGGATTAAATATATCAATTTGGGTTGGACCATTGACCCACCTAACCCAATTCACCTGGTTGACGGGTCTATGTAGGTGTTTTGTACCATGTGTTGAAAATTCACTTCCCGTTGAAGCTGCTAATTCAAATAACATCGTGTGCGCATATATCTAGAAAAGAAAGAATAGAAGTTGCTCTTTTGGTCTAATGTTAGATACTCATGGCTAACGGCGAAATCAGATCAGCCATGCAGATATGATATTGTATTGCCAAGTTTGATTTCGCGCATGCGCGCACGCATGAGGGCGTGTTTAGGCAAACTCAAGTAAAAGTTGATTCTCGACGAGCAGTGACCAACTTTGTAAGGCAATACCGAGCTTAAGAACAGTTATTCGAGTCAATATAGCTTTCCAAAAGTTGCTTTGTTGAGGATATTAGGAAGCTGATCCATATCAATTTATCACCGTCTTGGCCAATCACACTAGAAAACCAGAAGCAAGAACCAATGCAACTTCTGAGTTTTCGTTCTGGAACATCTTCACATGAACTTCGTTCATGTCTGAACTAAAATCTCCCAAGTCATGTGTCAGAGCATTGCATGACAACATGGGCAATTCACTTTCAAAACGCACTTCGCTTATTAATGTGCTACTTTCATTTACTTCTCTCCATCTATCTTCTACACCCAAAACTTAAGTATATAAAGAGAATGCCCTCATGCTCTGCAGTATCCTCCTGGACCTCAGAAGGTGAAAAGATAACCCCATGGATCTCGCATAAGTTTCAGATTCAGCAAATTATAACAACTGGGTGTGTCCCCCACCTTGGGCATCCTTTCGTAAGGATGAAAACTCTCTCCAATTGCATTCATCCATTGGACTTTCCTGAAATAAGCTGCCTTGTCAGTATACACATCCGACATATGACCATTGCCCATGGGCGGGCAATACCCATTTGCGCCTTCTTTAGCAAGTCCTCCCCACGCCGCATGCAGTGAGCCATTGCGTAAATTCAAGAATAACTCCTTTGGCCAATAGCCCACATTGATCGGCGGGTCATGAACGCGAAGCCACCAGTTCTCAGTCGCTATGTCCTGCAGCGACATGGACAACAACAATGGAAGCGATCATAACTACACGTTCAGGTTCATATTTTGTAAATGAATATTGAGAAAAGTCGAGTCTCTTGATCACGTAGAAAACTGAAATCACCTGCGAGACTTCAATTTTGAGTTCATATATGGGTCCGCCATATGTAGAAACCGGGGTTCATGGATAATTGGGATTTATTACTCTATCCACCTGTACAAAGCCTTGGCAGAATGTGTTGTAGCAACCATCGCGGAAACCATCTCCCTGTTACCAATAACGCTCTAGTTTTATAATAAATCAGGATAAAAGTGTACAAATATTTGTACAAATAAATAAATAAATAAAAGGAATTGGTGTACAAATTTATTGAAGTTTGTAAGGATCAAAATGAAATGCCGTCTGGGTGGCGCTGCTGGAAAGGGCACTCTTCCTCTCGCAAAATGTTGGGTGTTCGAATCCCGGGCGCCGCAGGGTGACTTAACCGGTGTACGTGTGTGGTGACTAGCACGTGTCGCCCCCAGGGTTTACCTCCCGGCTGTCGGCCGTGCGGGGGTTCCCTGGGTTACCAAAAAAAAAAAAATGAAATGCCGTCCCTTACCAAAAAAAAAAATAATATAACCTTACCAAAAAAAAAGATGAAATGCCGTCCAATATGTAAACAGTCGAGTTAGACCATTGGCATTCAGTGTCGGATCGACCCAATACAACAATATATAATTGTCACTCAGAATACTGACCGTAGGTCGCTAGATTCATAAAGTAGCTACCAATACCATTTAAATAAAATGCTTGCCTTGTTGATACTAAGGAAAGAGTGGAAAAAAAAATTAATTGCGTTAAAAAGAAAAAAAGAGAACGTTTTCAAATTGAAATCATACTTACAAATTAAATAGCTGCAGTAGAATGAATATAAGATTACAATTTAAATATAGAACACGGAAGATTTATGGAACCACATAGCAAGTAATTTGAACGAGTAATTATGATCTTTTTCGATTATACAACAAAAAAAGTGTTGTCATACATTTTAATAGCACATAAGGGCATTCATGGAACTTAAAAAAATAAGGTTGAAATCCTCCTCTAAATATGATGTATATACAGTAAAATTTACTTACTCGCCAACCGGCTACAATCATTATAATATGATCAGGAGGTCTAGTCTCAATCCATATATTATGCGAACTAAATTTTTCTGGATCTATGCTTATATTGTAGACAGAGATGTGTATGATCGTGGCTCAAGAACGCTCTCTGAAAAATACAGATATTGGATTGAACATATATGTTATTTAGAGGAGAGAGAGAGAGAGAGAGAGAGAGAGAGAGAGAGAGAGAGAGAGAGAGAGAGAGAGAGAGAGAGAGAGAGAGGTTGTACAAAAACGCCATATTCATTTATCCAGTGTAGTATTCAGAATTACAGGCTTTTTGCTATTGAAAAAACAGACTTGCTATCCAATGCAATAACCTCCGGGACCTCCATAGCCAATCCAATAGCCCAAATCTCGATTATAGCGATAATTCTTTAAATCATAAAGATTGGATTTATCCACATACTTAGCCACTTCTCTAGAAGGTTGTACAAAAACGCCATTTGCATTAATCCAGTGTAGTATTCGAAAGTACGTTGCATGCCTGTAATCACCGTCGGGCTTGTGTCCACTTCCGATCGGAGGACAAACTCCATCACTTCCGGCTAGGCCAATTCCTCCCCAACCCGTATGCAGTGAACCATTTTGTAAATACGAAAATAGGTCTTTTGGCCAATAGCCTACTTTAGTTGGAGGGTAACCAATCATCAGCCACCAATTCCCAGTGGTACGGTCCTGATTAGAAGTAAAATCTATTCGTAAGTTTTTTAAATGTGAAAAAGATCCTAATATTTTTTATGAAATTTCATATAATAAACCTCAATCGATCTAAATGAAACATCAGTACGGACATAGCCACATTAATCAACAATCGATAATTTGAAAACTAAAGTGTATCGTTAAATTGATTGGCTTATCCAAACCTATGTAGATGCACCGAAAAGACTACTACATCATAAAATATAATGGGTGAATTGAATTTTTATAATGAATTCATTATGGTTTGAATGGATTTTGCTAACGTAAAAATATCGCTTTATGAATTCAAGAACATAACCTAGCGTTCGGTAGATTTTTAGACAGACTTAACTTTCTTAGTAGGACCAATGATGGGCATGGATAGAAAAAGCTGAGCGCGAAACATAAAACTCATCAAAGGGCATTCAATTCTCTAAGATATTATTGTGAAAAGAAAAGGATTAATGGATAATATCGAGGAAGATCAAACTGTATATACTGTTTATACGGATATAAGTTTAACGTAATCTTTTCTTAATTTTTAACTGAAGATTTTCAGATTGTTGTTCCATACTAATTTTATTTTTACTTTGGTTGATGTAAGTTGAATGTATTCTTATTTTCGATTATATTGTAATTTGATCGAATTTAAATTTCAAGGTAAATTTTAATTATATATTTCTTTTCAAATTCATCTCATTAATTGTTTTTGGCAATTAATGTGATACATATATATATATATATGTATCTTGAGAGAGAGAGAGAGAGAGAGGGGAAATTTCGTTGATAAATTTTAATTATTAATTCTAATGGTTAAATACTTTTTTGATTAAATAATTGACATTAATAGTTTTACAGGGGGTTGAGAGTAAATTAATAATTTGACAAACGATAAATTGTTAAAACAAACCAATCACATTTTTCACGGTTTAAATAAATCTCATTTTCATGGATCAAACATGTTTTTTGGTAACCAAAACAAAATGAAGACGGAAACTATTTTCATTTCATTATCACAAGAAAAACGCAAAGTAAAATAAAAACTCTAAAACCAAATCTCCCTTGCATATCATCACATTTTCAAGTAGTGAAAGATTTCATTCTCATCGCCACTAATAATTATACGGCATGTGAGCAATTTGACATTACTTTTCAAATTCAAAATGATTTCCTCCATATATATGGGTAAGCGTTACGAAGATAGCACAACATGGAGTTTGTTTCGAAATGATGCTTACCTGCTCGACAAGGATGGCAAGCTCATATTGATCTCCACCATAAGTAGAACCATGTAAGGGTGTATTGACAGGTGCTCCCCTACCTACGAGGACAAAACCTGGACACAACAGGTTAAAGCATCCGTCGCGGTAACCATTGCCCTGTCACGATAATGCTTAGTCAACAGATAAGCCAACGTAGATCTAATTTCAGGTTGGTTTTTCAAACTTGTATGAATAATTGATCAATTATCTCTGAACTAACCGTCCAGTATGTGAAGAACCGAGAAAGAGTATCACCGTAGAGTTGTGGAGAAACCTAGTAAAACAAGATATTAGAGTTAGCCAACTATTAGGATTTTCGCATCACAATTACCTTCTCGATACTTAATAAATTTAATCACTCACCGTCCAACCGGCTACAATCATGCTAACATGATCTATAGGTCCGGTTTGAATCCATATATTATGCGAACTGAATTGGTCATTGGCAACGGTTATATTGTAGATGGATGTTCGCCCATAAGCTCCATATTTAATAGTTTCTATCTTATTTTCCATCAGAGCAACCACCTGCAAATGACTTCATATTTTTAATTAACAACATAGGAAAAGGGAAAAGTACCAAAAAGTTCCTAAATCTATAGCCTTGGTACAATTAAGTTTTAAACCTTTCAATTGAACCAATTTAGTCCCAAACATTTTATATTGGTAGCAATTTAGTCCATCCGGCCAATTTTGGCACGACTGGCGCGAACGTGGAAAATTTTTTAATAAAATTTTGAATTTTTTTATTAATTTTTAAACTTTTTTTTTCCTTTTCTTTTTTTTCTTTGGCCCATGGCCACTACTCGGCTAGGGCCAGTGACTAGCCACAGGTAAGGACGTCGGCCCTCATTGGCCATTGGCAAGAGCTTGACCCTTGCCGAATCTGGTGAGGGCCGCGACGCTCTCGCTGGCTTTTACCAGTGGCTAATCACTGACCATGGTCGAGCATCGGCCACAGGCCAAAGAAAAAGAAAAGGAAAGAAAAAAAAAGGAAAAATTAATAAAAATGTGAAAATTAATTTAAAAATTATAAAAGAATTGTTCAAGTCAACAATTTCGGCCCTAAATTGGTCGGATGGACTGAATTGATACCAATGTGAAAATATTTAGGATTAAATTGGTCAAATTGAAAGATTTAGGACTAAATTAGTACCAATACAATAGATTTAGGATTTTTTCGGTACTTTTCTCAATAGGAAAAAGTTGAAATATATGATAGATATGGTTGTTTGTGCAAAGTTAAAAATTTTCCGAAAATTCTTATTTTCGAGAACAGCCATGTCTAATAGTTCTCTTTGACCTTGGTTCCAAGTGGGTCGACACAGTCCACAGGCCAGGCCATGCTGTTTTCATGTTTATGTCTTATGCTGAAATGTCGTTTCTTTAGTCCAAAGAGACCTTTTAAAGAAAATACATAGCGTGCATGTGTAGAGAGAAACGCGCACGCACAGGCAAGAGAGAGAGAGAGAGAGAGAGAGAGAGAGTACATGCTGATTAGATTCAAGAGCATCCCGTCTTGAAGCTGCTAAGAATGGCATCATTGGTAAGGCGTTCGCCCTGATCAAATCCTTCTTTGTTACTCGAGAAATCGGTACAGTTCCAATCGGGCATGGTTCTCTCAATCCAAATTGTGTAGGCTTCATGAGGGAAAAATTCTTATCGAAACTAGTGAAATGTAATGTCGGATCTTTCTACAAGAAAAGGGAAGCAATTATGGTAAACCAAGGAGAATACATGATGCAAGTGATTCTGTATTGAATCATCTGCTTCTTTTGTTGACGGAAAGACTGACGAAACTTTACCTGAACTTTGTGATTCTTCAACAAAGGATGTTCTAGCGATGGTTGTTTATCAATGTCGATACAGTCAATGGTGTTGCCTTCCTCAGTCTATATAAAAATATCAAACGCAATTACTAGTTTCTCAAACATACGACGCTTGCATTAAACTTAATTAGCAACATAAATTGCAGCATAACATAAAACTAAAACAATTAGAGCATTTGCCAAATTGTTGGGAAGATAATTACCACGAATGTCTTCACCGGTGGCTTGTTCATCATTCTAACCTGTCTTTCCAACTCTGCATCGTCATCTTCTGAAATGTTTCCAACCTCACACAGACAAACACCAAAGAATACGAACAACAATGGCAAGACTTTCATCTTGTATTGCACTGTGAGAGTTATGACGATCTCGTTTTTGGCACTTCGGCCAAATTTATAGGCCTCTTCCACATTCGAACTTCTCCTTTGTACTTTCAATCCAATCAAAACTTGGAGGTCAACAACTTACTTTTATGTTAATAACCCTTTATTTATTGTCTACTCACTTTATTTCTTTGTCCAACATTTGTAAAATATATTAAACTAGCTATGTTAACGAATTCAAAATTCAGTATTAATTTAACCTAAATTTGATTTACCTATAATACATCTATGATTGAATTTTAACATAAACTAAAAATTTATATCTTATGGCAGCAGCATACCCCGAATTTTGGCAAAATGGGACCTTTGATATTCATGCATTCTCTTTCAATGGATTTTGTGCAAGAGGGACAATATTAAAGAAACCAAAGAAGGTATCTGTATAGTTAGTTTTATCTCGTGGGAATGCTAGTAGATGAGAAAACTAATTGAAGATAAGAATGTTCAATATTCAAATGCAGATTACACTGCTTGTTTGGGATTTATATCGCGAGGATATTGTGATTTTATTCATTATACCAAAATTAAGCAATGATGCATAGACCATACAAAACCCTTCCTCATGAAATTCATGTATAAATCTATCACGATAATAGCCTTTGTTAACAATAGCAGCCAAAATGGAAAAAACAGAAAAGGCATTCAAGACTCGGGAGTTACGGCCCTCATGGGTCAAAGACGAGCATTGAAGGACTAAAACTTAACTTGAAATAAGGCATGGCTGCCATTTTTTTTCCATGGAAAATGCATGTTTTCCACTTGTCTTTGAAATTCTGCCTTCTTAGAGTTTGAGACATTTTCATGACGTCGGATGTTCAGTCAAACCACACTGGTCATAACGGTCCCCTGTCCTACTGAAACCAAGCAATCAATGGCTAGGTCACAATTTCTATACAAGGTTTTGTTTATTTCACTGAAAATTTCTCGTAAGAATTTGATTTTATGGTATATGATAAATGAATTCACTAAATGCAACTTGTATAATAAAAAAGAGCATGTGATGATTAACAAACTGGAATTAGTCTCTTCTTTGTTTATTCCGTAATACATTAAAATAACAAGAATTACAAAAAAAAATTAGTGAAGAAATTATGAAATCATATTTCTAATATAATATGGATTGATAGTGTTTTTTGGAAATGTAGAAGAACATAAATATTAATGATGCATATTCAGGAAATGGTAGACAAAATCTATGGAGAAAGAAAACATATGAGATTTATCAGGGAAAAAAAAGAAAAAAATTGATGAAGATAGGAAATAGACATAGAGTGACTTATTCTTCTCACTTGGATGCGTAGCAAGATGTTAGGGACCATAATTTCCTTCTTGTCACAAGGGGAAGTCAAGGAAAATGCTTTCGTTGATCGACTAGTTTTCCGTCATCCCAACATAAAAAATTCTAAAATACATTCCCAGAAATGGTCTTCCATCAAATTAATTGACAAGAAGTTTTGAAGAAATCAACAATCATCTTTTATTTTTTTCTCAATTTGATAGTTGTTTACGATTGTTTGGGCATTAGTCTTGCTTCTAATATGAAGTACCTTTTGGAAATTTTCCTAATTGTCTTCTAATGTCTCTCTATTTCATTGGATTCTAAATAATTGTTTCTCTGTTTTTGTTTTCATTTTCAGTAGAATGACTTCATTAGAAGCAGTTCTACTAACAACTTGATTACCTTTTAAATCATCTGCAATAATCAGTGGCGGAGCAAGGAGGTCAATTGATCAAAACTCGAGACGTTTACCGATATGACTATATTTCGATATAGGGGGTCAATTTGCAAATTTTTGATACAAATTTTACAGTAGGTATACGTATATCCTATATGAGCTCAGTGGGTTTAATTACTAATGATCTCATATATCAATAAATGCGATAAACTAGGAAGACCATGATGAATATATCTACTCAACAAACACTAATGTCTAGAAAAATTAAGAAATAGGGCCATACAAATGAATCCAACTCATGATATCATTAGGAATTTACATCATGCTCAAACAATTCCAAGGGACAAGATATATTAAAACAAAATTATTTGGTAGACGAAGGTATTGATATAGTCATTTACTGTAATCTATACTAGCGTTATTCTATTTACAAAGTAATGATTATTTATCAATTGAGTCTTAAATATTTTGTATTTATGCCAATTCAGTCCAACCGGCCAATTTTGGCCGGAAATCGCTAACGTGAATGTCAACCTTCCTACGTGGCACAACCAGCACTGATGTGGAAATTTTTTAATAATATTTTAATATTTTACAAATTTTTTATTTTTCCTTTTTTTTTTTCTTTTCATTCTCTTTCTTTTTTTTTTTCTTCATTCTTCCTCTAGCCAGTCGTCGGACCTCAGCAACAATAAATGTTGTCGATAATGAAAACATTTTCATCGACTAACTATTTCAAGTGACGTAAGAAATTATTTTTAGGAAAATATTTTTCAAATAATTCATTTTCGCAAAATAAATGGAGCCTAAGTGTAAACAAGTCAACTATTCTTGATATCCTAAGAGCAGTTGTCTAGCATCTTATATTATCACTAGGCTCCACAATTATAATGTGTTTGTAACATCCTGAATTTCGACCTATTTCCAGAATCAATGAAATAGATGTTATTTCTTTAGTAAGTCTCGACTGGAACTGATCATTCTCGGGATACTAACCTTTAGGGAATGGCTACCTAGGGAAATGTACGTGGACCTAAGAACTCGATCATGAATCGATCTTCGGTGACGATTGAGGTCGCCATGACTCGAATAACCCTAGGTCGATACGCGTAATCCCTAAACAGGCGCCTGTTAGTGAGAGACCCTAAAATTGAGATTGGGCGATTTTGATCGCGAAATTGGATCCGGACTTGGATGTCGATTTTCGGGATCGTGCGCGACTATTTTTACGAGGATGACGTCATTTTAGTGTGGCCAATGATATTTGGGGTTGGTATGGTCGAAAAATGGAAATTCGGCCCGGGACCGGAAAATTACGACTTTGCCCCTAGGCCTATTTTTGGGTATTCCGAATTTTAGGGGGAATTATTGGAAAATTATTTTGGGAAATTAAGAGGATAAGATCAACCCAATAATGCAAGGATGAAAAGACTAGAATGCCCTTGGATATTTTGGCTTGGATTAATATAGACCAAGTGAGAGAGGGGCAAAATGGGCATTTTGGAAAAGTTGGTCAAAATTTGACTATTTAAGTCAAATCTCTCTCTCTCCTCACTCATTTCCCCTCCCCCACGGCAGCCTCCTCCCCACCAAATTCTTCCTCTCTCTCCCTCCCGAACTCTCCCCCACCGTGAAGCCCCCATCGCCGGACCGCCGCCGTCGCCGCTTGCCTTCGCCACTGCCAAGCCGCGGCGCCGTCCACCGCCGTCCCCGCCGTTCGCCGCCGCGCTACGTTCTAGCCGCTTTATTCTAGAACCAAGTAAGTCGCGATCTAATCCCTATTTAGGACGTCGGGTATTTTCGGACTCGTTCGGGTATGGTTTAGAGGATTTAGAGGTTGATTAAGGTGTCGATAATGGTTATTGGTGGTTGATCGTGGTTATTGGTGGCTGATCGTGGTTGTTGATGGCTGATCATGACTGTTAGCGGTTGTTGCGGGTTGGATTAGACGTCGGAAAATGAGTTTAGGTGGTTGGAATTCGGTAGAAATCGGTTCGGGTTTGAACCCGTGAGGTTCGGGGTGAATCGCGGATTCGCGGTTACTGTACCCGCCCGGTTTGCTATTTTTGTATAGAATTTTTTGGGCCGAATTTGAGAAATTTTTCTTCATGAAATTTCTTCCCAACATCTTGAGGTATAACATAATTTAATTTGGGAATTTTTGGAAATCATTTGAGGCCATTCGGAAGTCCATCTTTGGACCGAAATGGGTCTGCCCGATTTACTGTTCACCCGACCTTCGGTTCTGTTCGAATTTTTATAAATTTTTTCAGGCCTATTTTCAAAATAATTCCTTCACAAAAATTGTTGGGGACATTTTTGGGTATAACATATAAAAATTTCAAAGATTTTCAAGGTGATTTGGATGTTAAAAGAAATGTATTTTGAGGATAAAACAGTCTGTTAGAGCGAACAGATTTTGGTCTGACTTCAAGGGACAAAAAGGCATGGTTGTAGATTGAACCGGATTTCGTGTTCTTCATAAAAAATGTTGATCAAGATGTTTTTTATGACATATCCAAAATTTAGAATTTTTGGAGTTTCTTTACTATTTATTTCAAATGGATTTCTGTCACTGCGCAACTGCCCAATTTGGACCCGATTTTACATATTCTCGGTTTTTCTCTCTCTCTCGAGAATTATTCGGTGTTATCGTGGCATTTTGACGGGTAGTTTGATGCTTGAATGAGCTCGTATGTGTGATTGTGTGGTTGTGAGGTATGGTGGCGTGATTGCGCATTGAGTTCGCGTGCCAAGCTTGGGTGTTTGTGTGGTGTTCGCGTGATGAGGGTGGGTAATTGTGAAAAGTATGTGCGAGATGTGAATTTGTGTGTGACCGTGTGTATGTGTGGCCGTGTGATACGTGTGGAGAGTGTGGAACGAAGGTACGGAAATGTAGGATTGATGGGAAAAGTAATACCCTGAGGCGTGTTCGTTTACACGGGGTAAGGTCCGTCCTGAGGCGTGTTCGTTTACGCGGGACGATGCCGTCTCTGATGAGGTGACGATGCCCGGCCCGACGGGGTGACGATGCCTGACGTGGTCAGAAGACCGTTGGCCTGATGCGTTTTACGCGGGCGCGGTAGAAGGAAAGTGTGTGTAGGATTCCGTCCGAGGCGTGTTCGTTTACGCGGGACGATGCCGTCCCCGACGAGGTGACGATGCCCGGCCCGACGGGGTGTCGATGCCCGACGAGGTCGAAGACCGTTGGCCTCGATGCGTTTACGCGGGCGCAGAATGGTGGAAAGGTTGAGAACGAGCGGGATTTGGCTTGACATGTGAGGATTGTGAAAGTGATGCATGGTGTGAGTTAGTGCGCGAGTGTGTTTGTATCGCGTGATGCAGTGCGCGATTATGGGGTAAAATCTGCTAGGCATGGTATGGGACGTGCCCAAGTAGGTTTTGCCTTATAATTGAGGCACGCGCGCGGCTGTGATGTATTGCTGTGGTATGATTGGCGTGTGTATCGATATGTGGAAAGTGTGTGATGGCATGCGTGCAAGAATTGTATGTTGGGATTGTGGGCTAACGTGCATGATGCGTATGCAGAGCGTCCAGGTATGTGTGAATGTTTGATTGCTGGTTGTGTGGTTGTTTGGTTGCGCGTTTGGATGTGTCTGGAATTACGTGATAGCCTAGGTGGGGCTTAGGTTGTGACTTATTGAGATGTGATCTCATGGTTGTTTCAACCAAACCATTTCAGAGCCCCCGCCTGAATGTAGAGATTGAGGTCGACTCAGAGTCGTCGGGTGAGCAGACAGCTGCGGAGGATTCAGGTGGTGATGCCGAGGACAGTGAGTCAGAGTGGACGCCTTCGAGAGGGCGTAGGGGATAGTTCTGGGAGGAGGATGCGCCCCATTTTTGGATAGTGCTGATCTAGAGAGCTGTTCTTGATATTTTGGTGGTTTGGAGTTTATAGTTCGGTGTGCTTATAAATTATTTTGTGGTTTGTATTGGCGGATGATGTAAATATTTGGAAGTGTAATTATGCTTGGTGGTTTGACGATTTGTTCCTTCCTGGTGTTCTCCAATTTTAATGTCCGGGATTTTTGATTACTTCCGCTGCGATTTAATTCTGATGGATCGTTGGGTCGGCGACGTTATTCCTGGGACGTCGCACTCTTCCGACCGAGGAGAGGGATGTCGCAGGCTCGATGGGGTTCGAGGCGTGACAGTGGTACTAGTCCTTGATTATTCATACAATGGACAGTGAGTTTCGGCTTTGTACAAGTAGACAAAGAAGTAACGACAGGTTGTTCCTTCCACACAACTTCCATTTATAGTATGATCATAAAATTCTTCTCAATCATTGTTCCCCACTAGAGAAAATAGATTGACAAATAGTATCGATTACGTGGTGACCTATCATTTACATGAACAACGAGAAAAGTGTCAGAAAAGTTCTAAACATATTGCATTGGTACAAATTTAGTCCTAAAACATTTTAATTGTGCCAATTTAGCTCTAAACCTTTTGAAATTGTGATAATTCAGTTTTTCCGGCTAATTTTATCCAGATATTTCTGACGTGAACGCCTGCCGGCTTATGTGGCACCGCCAGCATTGACGTAGATAATTTATAATAATATTTTTTGATTTTTTTTTCTTTTTTCCTTTCTTCTTCCTTTTGCCGATGACCGGTCACAAGCAATGGCCGGCCACCGACCATGGCCAAACGGGCTGGCCTTGCCTGGGCAAGGGTCACCGTCGCCCGCCATAGGCGAGGGCGAGCCCCAATGAGGCCGCCCTGGCCTAGGCGAGGCCCAGCGAGGGTTGGCCTTGCCTAGGCTAGATCTGGCGAGGGGAGCCCTCGACAAGGAAGGCCCTCGCCTGGCTGGGCCTTGTTTATGGCGAGCGATGGCAACAGCAACCCTCGCCCTGGCGAGGCCAACCTGCCTGGCCATTGCTTGTGACCGGTGGCCAGTCATCAACAAAAGGAAGAAGAAAGAAGAAAAGAAAAGAAATCATAAAAAATAAAAAAATCGTAAAAATATGAAAAATTATCCACGTCAGCTTCGGCGGTGTCACGTAAGCCGGATGACATCCACGTCAATAATATTTAGCCAAAATTAGTCGGAATAACTGAATTGACACGGGACAAAAAGGTTTGAAACTAAATTAGCAACATGAAAAGTTTTAAGATTAAATTGATACGTATACAATAGCTTTGGGACTTTTGTGAAACTTTTTCCCATGAACAATGGATAATTACTCATTTGCCGCTTTAGTCTGACACAAAAAAGGACGGGCAGAAAAGGTGCCTGTGCAGCTTGTGCTTCTGTATTCCTTTTACGTGACTATAAAAGCAGATATCATTAATATCCTCGCCGCTTAAGATGCAAAACCATGTGAAAATGGACTAACGGTCGAGATTGAAAACCACTTGATCCAACGGCGGATATCGGCGCTAAACCTTGTTATATAGGCACTGATCTCTCATATTTTCTTATACCTCTCTTCATGTCTCAGAGAATTGTGTCAAAACCAGCAATGGCTCTGATGAAACTGTTGCTGGTGCATCTCATTTGGTGCGGCGTTCGTGGTTTTTGGGGCGAAGCAACAAGCATTTCCGAGGATGATTCGGAGATAGAGGCACAACTAAAGATTTTGAATAACCCTGCCGTCAAGACATTTGTGGTACTGCTTCTACGAATTTACAGCTTCTATTTTTTGGGAATTTTTACATTAAAAGGTGTAATCGTTCTTTAATTTCGTATGTACTAGCACGATTAGCCCATGAAATGCAAAAAATATGTATATAAATAAATTATTAAACTTTTGAATTCAGTTTTTCTTTAACTGTAGAAGAATAATCTTTTAAGCCCAAAGAAATGATTGCGTCGATTTAGTCTGCTAAATTATGTAAGTATCAATTAAAATAGATTATTCATGGACAAATGGCAAGCATGCCTTTATTCAGTGAAAATAGTGACAAGCTTGTATTTATTTTAACAGATGGCAAACATGCATATTATTGAGGGGAACCCATTCAATCTTTTCCTCATAGAGAAGTTTATTTCCATATAAGTGAGTCTCAGCAATTTTTTTTTTTTTGCCTAAGGAAAATCTTTCAATTCATGCAATCCTAACATACATTTACCAAAATAAGCTAATCATTCATAAAGGTGCTTGACCTTTATTTTGGATCTATTATTGCTGCTATTGTTTTCAAAGGAAAAGAGGAACATGTTACACTTATATAGCATACTAATCATTTCAAATCGAAATAACATGGTTAGCATTTCATAGGGTTACCGAATAAGATTTAAGAGTTGCTGGTGCTTTTCTTCCCAACATTTGAGATGGCAAATGTTAGTCGGAGGATGATAACCAAGACATGTATGGGCAGTTAATCATCATTTCCATTGTTGAACACTATTTCTACTTTTCAACCACAATTTCTGCAAGTATTTCTCAGCAAGTACTAATGTTTGCTTGACAAATGGTTGACTGCGTTTGATACTTCTCTGAAAGAGTAAAGAAGGAGAGACCATCGATTGTATACCTATTCACAAGCAACCAGCATTTGATCATCCTCTACTCAAAAATCATAAAATTCAGGTGAGAATGTTTATTGATTTTTCCCCATTAATCAACTAAACTACGGGATAGTCTAATATGAAATTTGTCTCAAATGTTTACGTTGACTTTCATGATTTCGTTTTTTTTGGCAGCTAGAACCCAAGTTGCCTCCTTTTGAAAAGGTTAGAACTCCCATAAATGCAAAATCCGTAAATTTCGGATTGAGAGAACCTTGTCCCGTTGGAACAGTTCCCATTCCTCGAGCAACTAAGGAAGATTTGATAAGGGCGAGATCCATTCCCAAAGTGCCACCTGTATCTGCCATGGGACAGAATACCAACAATCAACATGTTCTCTCTCTCTCTCTCTCTCTCTCTCTCTCTCTCTCTCTCTCTCTATGTATATTTAATTTCTGCAAAACAAAATTTTTATTAGAATTTTCATTTTGTACATATCTATATTTAGATATCAGTTTTCACATGTTGTGGTAGGTACATAAACTTCTACTTAGAGTTGCTTTGCTAAATATAGAACAATTATTTTGAGTTTGTGAAAACACATATCACGAGTACATGAATACACGTAAAAACATCTGAATCATTAAATTGTTACCCAACAACATTCAATTGGTGATGAACGTAAGGTATATAGAATTTTTTTCTCCCTTCATCGTCCTTATGTATGAGATCATGTGCAGATGGTTTATATGGCGGACGATAACGTAGAAAATATCAAATATGGAGCTGGTGCGAGGATGACCATCTACAATCTAACTCTTGCTCCCGACCAGTTCAGCTCACACCATATATGGCTTCAAACCGGTCCTCCAGATCATATCAGCTTGATCGCAGCAGGTTGGCGGGTAAGTTATTGGTTTCTAAGTATGAAGAAGTCAATTATGATGAAAAATGTGGCAATTGCTTGACTTGTTTTATTTACTAGGTCTCCCAACGACTAAATGGCGATACTATTTCTCGATTATTCACATTTTGGACGGTCAGTTTGCACATGCTCGATCAATTCTATCACCATTAAAAACTGGGAAAATTACCAAAAAAGTCCTAAACCTTTTGCAATTGTGCCAATTCAGTCCTAAACCTTTTTTTTTGGCCAATTCAGTCCTAAACCTTTTGTAATTATGCCAATTCAGTCCATCCGGCCACTTTTGGCCGGCCGGCGCTGACGTGGCCGCCGGCCGGCTGACGTGGCGCCGGCCGGCGTCCACGTAGCAATATTTTAATATATATATTTTTTATTTTCGAATTTTTTTTCCTTTTTTATTTTTTTTCTTTTCCTTCTCCCCCCTGGCCTGTCCGGCCAGGGGGGAGGCTCGCCGGCGAGGGCCTAGCTCTGGCGAGGCGAGCTGGGCCCTCGCCGCAGCTGGGCGAGCTCCGCCGTCGCCCAGCCAAGGCGGAGCTCGCCATGGCCGGGCGAGCTCGCCTTGGCGGGACGAGCTCCGCCCTCGCCCGGATCTCGGCGAGGCGGAGCTCGCCACGCCATGGCGAGCTCGGCCTCGCCAGATCCGGGCGAGGCGGAGCTCGCCCGGCCATGGCGAGCTCCGCCTCGCCGGGAGCCGGACGAGGCTCGCCTAGCGGCGGCGAGGGTGGAGCTCGCCCAGCCATGGCGAGCTGGGCCCTCGCCGCCGCTGGGCGAGCCTCGCCCAGCTCCGGCGAGGCGGAGCTCGCCCAGCGGCGGCGAGGGCCTAGCTCGCCTCGCTGGAGTTGGGCCCTCGCCAGCGAGCCTCCCCCCTGGCCGGATAGGCCAGGGGGGAGAAGGAAAAGAAAAAAAAACGAAAAAAGGAAAAAAGATTCAAAAATAATAATAAAAAAATATTAAAATATTGCCACGCGGACGCCGGCCGGCGCCACGTCAGCTGGCCGGCGGCCACGTCAGCGTCGGCCGGCCAAAAGTGGCCGGATGGACTGAATTGGCATAATTGCAAAAAGGTTTAGGACTGAATTGACAAAAAAAAAGGTTTAGGACTGAATTGGCACAATTGCAAAAGGTTTAGGACTTTTTTGGTAATTTTCCCTTAAAAACTTCACTCCTCCAATTTTGTATACCTAACATGAGAACCGGATGAAAGTCAAATTATCAATTGACTGAAATATTACTCTTATAGGGCGATGGTTATCGTAATGGGTGCTATAACGTTCGATGTCCAGGTTTTGTTCAAGTAGATAGGGAAGTAACAACCAATTATCCATTCTACGATACTTCTGTCCCCGGCGGGACCCGATATGAGCTATTGCTTCGAATTGAACAGGTAAGCTTGATTCATCAAGCTCATCAAGGCATATAGCAATCTCGGTCTTACATAAGATGTTCATATCATATTTTTTGCTTCATAATACGACGAGATCATGTCATGATCGGCGGAAAAATCAATCCGGTGCATGTTGGACCTTTGTAACATGTGAAATGAAACTTGTGAACAGGATATTTTCTTTTTGACCAGGACTTGCATACTGCGAATTGGTGGCTGATCGTGAAAAATGATCCTCCAGTTAAAGTGGGTTATTGGCCGAAGGAACTATTCGCCAATCTACGCAACGGCTCGCTGCATGCAGCTTGGGGAGGAGCTGGCCAAGAGGCAAGCAATGGATACTGTCCTCCATTGGGAAGTGGCCGTTATCCCGACTCTAGTTACGAGTATGCCGCATACTTCAGTCACATGTACTGGCTCTACAGAGGAAGTGCCCGCCTTCAACCTTCCAATAAAATTCAAGAATGGGTCGACAAGTCCAACGTTTATGCCTTGAAGAACGATGGCAATGTGCGGAAAATGGGGTACACGCTTAGCTATGGAGGCCCGGGAGGTTATTGTAGAGTACAATGACTTTTATGGAAAAAACAAATGTACTTTGAGCAACTTAATAAGCAAAACTGAGCAGGTTTTGTAATTCCAAATTGCATTTTGAATTATTTTCCCCTCTTGATTTCCTATTTCTCAAGGCAGGCTATCGTAAGGATTAACCTTCCATAATTCTTTTTTATTTATTTATGAAACCCTAATTTGATACGGCGAGCTTCATTAGTAAAATGAGCCGTGAGAATTATTTTTCACAACCCTACAGGAACATTCTCGTGCACATTGCAGGTTCGATCACTGCTATGTGTTGAGAACTGATGAGTTCATTTGGCTCTTTAAGCCTCCTATTCATCCTAACCAGCTTCCTCAACTTGCAAACCCTAAATATTGTATCCAACACATCACCCATGAGCACCACCTTCCCAATGAAATTTCAGATAATGCAAACTCCTATTTGTGTCATTCCTCTGTAAAATTGAGAGATTAATTTGCGATGATGAATTGTTAAGGCTAAAAACTATACGAGGTATTGAGCGTAATTGGGGGCTGAGAAACTGTTGACACCTATTTTTTTAATTTTTCCCATACTTAATTATGCAAAAATCTAGAGGTTAATATCCTTAATTCCTAAAATAAAAAAAAATTATTTAATTGCATTGCATATAGACATAGGTACATTTTGTATTATTAAAATGTATTTTCATCTTTTAATTAAACAAAATTGAAAAAAAATGTTAAAAAATATTAAAAAAACGGATCAAGGTAGGGGTGAGCAACTTGGACCGCCCAAACCGGGACCGGACCGGACCGGACCGACGAGTTTGGTCCAGTTCTCGGGACTATCGGTCCGGTTCCCGGTTCCTAAAAGCGGAACCGGTTTCCGGGCGGTCCGGTTCCTGGTTCCAAGGGGGAACCGGACCGGACCGACTATTTAATATATATTTTTGTTATTTTTTTATTTAAAAAAATTAATAAAATGTGAACTAAACTCTAAGTGAACTTCATTATCATAAATTCATTGATAAAAAATAGTAAAATGTGAATTAAATCCTAAGTGAACTTCATTGACATAAATTTATTAACAAAAATTAGTAAAATGTGAACCAAACCTTAAGTGTTTGACAAAATAAAAACCCTAAACTCTAAATAACCGGTTCCATTGGACCGGATCGGACCGACGGTCCAGTTCGGTTCCCGATCCTAGAACCAACCGGTCCGGTCCGCGGTTCCCAAAATTGGGAACCGGTTCTCTCAGTCCGGTTCCCGGTTCCACCTTGGAACCGGACCGGACCGGGAACCGCTCACCCCTAGATCGAGGCGGGTCGAGGCTGGGTCGATCCAGCCCTCTCTTTTCTCCCCTCGCGGGCCTAGGCCCTCTCCCCTTTTTCTTTTTTCCTTCCTCTCGAGCTAGGCCCGGCCCAGCCCGTTCCCTCCTTCTCTTCCCCCCACGGCCCGGCCTCTCTCCCTCTCTCCCTCTCTCCCTCTCTCCTCCTTCCTTCCCCCTGCAGCCGACCACAGCCTGGGACAAAGCGGATAAACCGCTCCACCTTGCAAAAATGGCCACCAAAGTCAAGAACCTAGAGTAGGCTGGTGTAGAGTATTCAATGGACGACTTCCGGGGCAAAGCCAGTGGCCGGCGGTCGCTATATAAGCCGGCAAAGAGGAGAGAGACAGCCCGGGCAAAAACAGAGAAAAGAGAGACCAAGAGATTTGGAGATATTTTGAAAAATTGAGAGCAAAAGTGAGAGTTGAGTGTTTACAGGGACTGAAGAGGAAGCCAGCCGGCCTCGCCGTTGCCCACAGATCGACCGGCGACCCCCCAGAATCAGTCCAGACTAGTAAGTCCTTCTTGGCCCCTGTTCGACTCTTTTTCCCTTGCTTTTTCGTGCAAGTTGGCCGGGACTCGCGCAAGCCCTTTCGCGCGAATCCGGGCCCATGTTGACCTCGCTCCCGGTCCATACTCGTCATCAGAGGTGAGTCGAGGCCGTTGGAGCAAGCCCTGGTCTTAAAAAAGGTCAAAAACCTACTGTTTCAGTCACGTACTCCATGTGCTCGAGAAAATGTCTAAGTGAAGCTCTGTGTTGTTGGTTCTCAGCCAGCGATTTCCAGGTAGGCCAGGGAGTCGTGAGGTTGGTCACGGTCATGTGGTGGCCATCAGAGGCCAGGCAAGGCCACAATTCCATCTGGGTCGACCGGCCAAGCCTTGACCGTTGTTTAGGCTTGAAGAGCCCCGATTGGGGCTCGGCTGGCAGCCACTGTGGCTAGCGCGGCCCCGGGTGCTGAGGCCAATGGCCGGGCGAGATGGCCGACCAATCACCGGATCTCGCCCAGCCGGCGTTCTCGAGTGCCTGTGCATGCAAGAACAGGCCCGAACCCGACCTACAGATCGGTCCAACCAGGTCTGTAGGCCATTTAGGGCCGGTTCGACATGGTCCCAGGCCCGATCCGATTTAGGACACGGGTCAAAGGCTCGAGTTGATCCTTGACCGGGTTTGGATCTGGAGATCTGACCCAGGTCAATGCATATGGATCGGGTTTATTGACTCAGGTCGGTACACAGATCCACCGATCCGACTAGTTTGAATAGTATATTAATATTATATTATTTTTTATTAAAAATATTATTTTTTAAAAAAATTTAAAAATAAAAATTTGAAAATTTTTGAAAAAAATTATTTATTTTTAAAAAAAATAAGGAAATAGCCTAAATAGCTAGACTTTGAGTAATTTTCCTTAAAAAATGTGAAAATCTTTCCAAAAAAATGTGCTTAAATTGAACAATACTTTGAAACCATAGAGTTAAGCGAAATGTCTCCCTTTAATTTGTATATCTCTCTCGCATCTACAGCTAAGTATTTTTAACCCAAGTAATCATTACTTTTAACCCATGGTTATTTGATCATATCCTTTTGCAACTCATGAAAGTCTTCCAAATACATCCCCCTCTTGATCATAAGAAGCCATTTCAAGTATCCAAGTTCTAAATAGAGAACTTCAACTCATTCTTGCAAAGAAAGAGAAAGAGTTCCATGTCACTTCCCTTCTTTCCCTTCTCTTTCATTTGTCACTCTTTCGAAGCAAAGAAAGTTCCACGTTAGTGTTTTTAAAGCTTCTAAATCAATATTTCAATACTGACAAGGTGAATTTTTGGCCTCCTCTTTATCATCAAATTAGTTTTGTTGTTTAAAAAGATTGGGAGTTGTTAATTTATGTTCTTGATTATTTTGCTTTGAAGGTATATAAAGCCTTAATTAGCTCAAGTCATTTTTCAAGGTAAGTGAAAACTCTAGGGACTAAGATAGAATGATCTACTTCGTACTCTTAACTTGGCTGTTTGATGGTTGCCAAATTTAGTTTGAACTTTGATGTTAAGCGTAAGAAAGTTATAATGATTGCGAGTTGAATTGTTGTGATCGTTTCACTTAATTCGATGTGAATCTAAATGGAGGTTGTGATTAATCAACTTTCGTGAGATTCGGTAGTATAAAATAGGAAATGGTGAAATTAAACTAGAAAGTGATATTTTTGGTAATTCGACTAAGTTACCGATTTACTTGCTAAGTGTTGACGATTAATCACGCTATAAAATATTTTGGTTGTCAATGTTAACGTTGTCGATTATTCGATTCGCCAATGTTCACGTTGTCGATTCTCCTATTATGTTATCATTCCTTGCATGAGAAAAGAAGGGAGGTAAGCATGTCATTACCATTAGCGTGATGATCGAACATGCAAGATAGTTGTATTTTGAAAATGATTTGCATGAAAAGGTGTTCTTTACCGGATGTTGCTTCTTGAAAATTAGTGTTGATTTCATTGTAGATACAAGGGAAATGATATAATTATAGTATTATCATGTGCTATAATTATAGTATTATCATGTGCACTGTTATTATGGAATTAAATATGGAAAATATCATGTTTCATATACATTCCGTAACCCATATATTAGTGATGACAATGCCTCGGGTGTCGAGATGCCCTATGTGTCGGACATGTAATCAAAAGAATTTATCTTATTGAGAAATTCATGTCTTACTCCGTAAGGTTTAGGGAACAAAACAAAAGAATAATAGCCTAACCAAAGGTTCTCGCATGCCCAAAGAGTGTTCAGGGAGAGAAGTAACGAATACAATACATGTTTATATGTATATCTATATATATATATATATATATATATATATATATATATATATATATATATATATGGACACACATGTCTACTAGTGAATTAATTGGTGATGACCGTATCTCATAATATGTTATGTCATCCGCTTGCATTTAAGTGAATAATCTCATGCAATACAGTTGTTGGTTTCGATCGACATTATCATGATAAGAAAGATGATGTATTTACACCTGCACTCATCATATGGAGATTTCATTTGCTGGGTTTCGGTTCACTCTTTTATTTTTCAGATATTTAGAATGGATTCCCCACCGCCACTGCTTTTTGGAGCTCCCATGCATTTCAATTGTGTTTATGAAGATGTGCTTGAACCTGGTTCATCCATAGCATATACTAAGCGTAGTTTCACAGTGTGGGTCGACGTGGCGTTTCTAGAGTGGATTTCCATCAATTTGTCGCTTGGTACTTGAATATCGACGGTGAGTTAATTGGACCGTTGAGGGCTTTTTATGGCGACGAAGACGTGTGGATGGGCGAGGTTGTTGATCCATAATCTAGTACGTGACTTTTTATAGGCAAGTTTTCGGATGCAGGAGTATGGGATAGTATCGACAAGACCCGACCGTCTTCCTATAGTTAATGCGTTGTATCCAGTTTCTTTTTGTGCCTGTATTAATACTTGGAAGAGGGAAGATAATTGATAAATGCATATGTATATTATTCAAACTTACGTATTTCGTGCGATGTGTTTAGTGCTTCCGCATGCTAATAATAATTACGAGTTACTATTGGAAAGGGTACGTGTCACGCGTGATATTCTGGAGCGTCACAACAATAATGTAGAAGATGTCAAATATGGAGCTGGTGTGACGAGGAACATGTATGATCTAACCATAATTAATGACCAATTCAGTTCACATAATATTTGAATTGAAACCGGTCCTATAGATCATCTTAAGGTGATTGTAACCAATTGGCAGGTATATAATATGTTCTAAGCATAGAAAAGTAAACTATTTGTAATATCCTAGGAGCAATGCCTAACATCTTTTATCTTTACTAGACTTATCCACAATCATATGTGATCCTATTCCCCAAAAATTCATATACTCGACCGTCGAGTCGGACATCTTTAGATATTTCTTTTTCGAAAACTTCTTCCTTCAACTTTTTACGCCCGACATGCATACAGAAGTGAAGTTGGATTGTTGACTCCATATGTGATCATTTTATAGGGCGATGGCCATCGTGATGGGTGTTACGATGTATTAAGCCCGGTCCAAGTAGACAGGGAAGTAACGACAAGTTATCCCTCCCACATAACTTCCATTTATGGCGGCAATCAATATGATTATAAAATTTTTCTCAATCATTGTTCCCCTTTCGAAGTATGAGTTTGAAACCGGAAAAATATAATGAATCTAAAAGACATAGCTACTAATGACAATCATACAACAATTTATTATGAGTGTTACAACATATTAAAACCATGTTTGGTTCAGTATTGCAAATGGGCCTCGAGACACTAAAGTTCATTGGGTGAATGCAAATGGCATTTGGTTCGTTTTTTGCTCAAATTAATGCAATTGCATTTCTAAAGACCTTTAGCCCAAGACAGATCCGAAGGTCTTTTGGAATGCTGCATTTCTAGAATGCAAATACAATTTTTTTCTCCAACTTTGCCCTAGCTCAACTATCATAATTCTGGAAACGTCCCTATCTAACACAACCTCACCGACGAGGTTTTAGGCCATCAGCAGGCGGCTAGTGAGACTTCGACGAGGTCGTATGTGGCTGCCGGTAAGCCAAATCTAGTGCCGACAGCCTTGATTGAGGTTGCCTGACCTCAGGCGACACGGCCTGGGTTCATGCGACCTAGGGACTGTCACCAAGGTTTATGCATGGCGACGATCGCCTAGGGTCGGGCGACCACAGGCGAGGCTGCCAGTGCTAAATCTGGCTCATGCGGCAGCCAAATCTAGCCTCTCGTCAGCCACTGAACCTTGCTGGTTTTGTTTTTTTTTTTTTTGGTAAGGTAAGAATCCTTGCTGGTTTTGTTTATAAAAAAAAAAAAAAATGTTGGCGAGCTCAAGCTTGCCAAATCTTGGTAAGGCTCGATCTCGTTGGCCGTCGTCGAGGCCGGTGACCGGCTGAGGGGGAAGAAGGAAAAGAAAAAAAGAAAAATAAAATATTAAAAATTCAAGAGAGCAATTTCGGAAAGTATTTTCACTTTCTCACATATGAAAATTCACTTTTCTAAATTTGTGCATGAATTTTTTTGTTAACCGGAAAGTGTTTTCGGTTGACTAGTCATTTTCTGTGAACTAAACGAATGAAAGTCCGGAAAATCAATTTCCAAAAAACACTTTCCCCAAACAAACACACCCTAAAATTACAATTTATCAAACACTAATTGCATTTTAGAAAACCCCTTTACCTAAAAACTTTTGCATTTCCTCAAAAATATTTTTCCAAAGCCGAACCAAACGGGCCTCAATCTAGTCTTTGTCCAAGTAGACAAGGAAGTACAACAGGTTATCCCTCCCACAAAACTTCCATGTATGGCGTGATTACTGTTTGAAGTCTGAGCTTGATAACTTTACCCGCAATCCCGATTTCTTCTTGCTCTTGAAATCTCCACTGTTTCGGTGCTCGACTTTCCACTCTACTGAATCTTGCTCCTTGACCAAATATTCTTCAATTTCTTGAACTTGTTTTTCCTTGATTGGTTGATTTCATACATTTTTTTTAAAATTTTTCCTTGTCTACCATTGAGGGAGCCTCCCACCACCATGACCGTGTGCTTGTGCGAGAGAGAGATGCGACATGGAGATGCCCAGATGGTACATTTGTGGTCACACGAGGCGAGCGTCCTCCAATTAGAGAGAGAGAGAGAGAGAGAGAGAGAGAGAGAGAGAGAGAGAGAGAGAGAGAGAGAGATTGGGTGACTTTCTCTAGGTTTTCATGCATATATACAATAACTTCCATTTCAACCTATGTGATTTGGTGACTTTCTTCTAATACCTAGGTGTACATGTCTGATCAAATTAGTTAGGCCACGTTCTCTCTTTTTTTTTTTTGTCTCCACTATTCTTCATTTTACTTTTATCTATTTCACTAAACAAACCTTTCTTAAACTTCATAAATTGATATGCTCGCAGTGTGTTTCGATCATATGTCAAATATTATTGCACTAAATAAATTTTTTTTGGCAATCATGACTCGGGAGCGCTTGAACTTATGCTTAAATTCATGTACTTATAACTAATTGAATTGCTCTAAAGTAAAAAGCTGATACATGAATACATGAAAGCGATAAAATACTGTTATGGAGTTGTCATAGTGATAAGATCCAAATTTTAATTTGAAATTTCGATTCTCAAGGAAATTGTCGCGTGATATTAGTGTCTTTAACACTCAACCATATCATGTCATTTAGTACAGAGAAACACACAAGAATATAACATTTCAAACCATTATCACTTGGAATTAGATTTCTTGACATGGGCATTGTATATGAAATTTTTTAAGAATTGAACAGTCAACCTTTGTGTGGTAGATACATTCTTCAATCTATTCTCAAACTATCAGCTCGCAAATTGAGGATTAAAATAAAATTTGCTAAATTTCTCTTTTTCCATCAATTGATTTTGCTCAATTATTTTAAATTTTTTTCTCTCCACGGCATCATGCAACAATCTAACTAGTTACTATTAATCTTAGGTTAGTCTGTTATACACAAAAAGATTTTCAGTTCTACTATTAAGTTGGAGTATATTAAGGCCGCGCTATTATTATTTTTCTTCAAAGGACAGACATGATAAATTCAAACCCTAATTTGTAATGTCGATCTTGTTAACTACGGATTCGAAATAGATGATTTGAGATGGGATAAGCAAAGGAAAAAGATTGTCATATGGTGCGAAAATCTTTGGGAAAGGGGACTAGTGTCCTCGTCTTTATCACTCAGGTAAGTCTGAAGAAAATGCTCCCCACGTAAGGATTCAAAGAAACTTCCCATGGACTTGCTATCCCCTACAATAACCTCCAGGACCTCCATAGCCCATCCAGTAGCCTAAATGTCGGTCATGCGGATGGTACTTCAAATCGTAGACATGGGATCTATCCACCCATATGCCCACTTCTGTTGAAGGCGGTAGATAAGTCTGGTCTTCACTAACCCACTGTAATGTTCGGAAGTACGTCGCGTGTGTGTAATCGTCATCGGGCTTGTGTCCGCTTCCGATCGGAGGACAAACTCCATCGCTTCCGGCTAGGCCAATCCCTCCCCAAGCCACGTGTAGCGAACCATTTTGTAGATTCACGAATAGTTCCTTTGGCCAGTAGCCTACTTTAATCGGAGGGTAATTGATTATCAGCCACCAATTCCCAGTTTCACGGTCCTGAGTAGAAGAAGTAAATGTTATTGACAAGTTTTTACACACCTCAATCACATTGGATCGTGGAGATAGCCACACGATTGTTCTCGGTTTTAGGTTAATAGTTCATTGAAACTACGTGATATCTTCTTCGAAATCAACCAACAAATGTGAGTTTTTATTCGAATATGAGCTTGAGATATGTCGTTTGATGTGTTCTGAGAGAACGGTGAACGATGTGAGTTTGGGCTTCTTTAGAAATAAGTAATCCTTGTTTTACGCCTAATACTAATTTTTATGTACGTTATTGTTTATCTGTATTTTGGGGTTACACTCAGTTATCACTTATGAATTCAAGAACAAAAGCTAGCATCCGTAGAGTAACAAAGAAAAATGAAAAAAAGAGAAGTTCTGAAACCAAATCACCCTTGTTTATCAGCACAATTTGCTACAGTGAAAGAATTCATTTTCATCGCTAGTGACAATTGTGCAGCACATGAGCAATTTGAGATTAATTTTCAAATTCAAAACGATTCATGCATATGTTGATGAGTGTTGTGAAGATAGCACGATATGGAGTTTATTTCAAAATGATGCTTACCTGTTCGATATGGATCGAAACCTCATATTGATCTCCACCATAAGTAGAACCACGCAAGGGTGATCTGATGGGTGCTCCCCTATTCACAAGGACAAAACCTGGACACAACACGTCGTAGCATCCGTCACGGTAACCATTGCCCTGTCACAATAATACTTAGTCAACAAATAAGCCAACTTAGATCTAATTTCTTGCTGAGTTTTTAGAAATTGTATGAATAATTAATCAATTATCTCCAGACTAACCGTCCAGTATATGAAGAACCGAGAAAGACTATCACCATAGAGTTGTGGAGAAACCTAGTAAAACTGAAGATGGTTAGACTTAGAAAATATATAAGATTTTCTATCGCAATTGCCTTCTCCATACCTATAAATTCAATTACTGACCATCCAACCGGCTACAATCATGCTAACATGATCTCTAGGCCCAGTTTGAATCCATATATTATGTGAACTGAATTGGTCACTGGCAACAGATATATTGTAGACGGATGCTCTCCCATAAGCTCCATATTTAATATTTTCTATCTTATTGTCCACCAAAGAAATCACCTGCAAATGACATCGTGCACGTTAAACTACTGGAATAGGGAAAAGTTGAAATATATGACAGAGTGTGTTAGACGGTAGCATTGTACACAGATGTTTGTCGATCACACGTGGATTGACAATTGAATCTTTAATAGCATCGTTGGAACGAAACTTGATGGGGGCCAAATTTAGATACCCGGTAAAAGCTGGTGTTTTATGATACCGAAAGACATTTTGGCCAAAATTGGGATCCAAGCTAAAGCCGATATTTTCTATGACAAAAAAAATTTGGGATGGAATCGAAATCTAAGTTAAAAAATATTTTTTTAAGAAATAAAAAAGGTTTGAACCAGTATTGGAATACAAGCTAAAGATTGTGTTTTTAATGGGAATTGGGCCCATAGTCCACAGTTCAACCAACTCTTGGCCACTTGAAGACACCTATACGTACAAGCCACGTTGTTTTCATGATTTTTCTTATTCTAAAATATATGTTCTTTATTCCAAAGGTAGCCTTAAAGAAAAAGAGAAATGTTTATATAACTGTTCTTAATATACAGTGAGACTAATAGCCAATTTTGAGCCATAAAAAACAAATAACAAATAACTAGAAATTATAGCGGGGTTCACTCTTCCTAGAATTTGGGGCTTACAACATGCTCTTACTCTCATAGTGGCCCAAAAACTGTTATGCCAGTAAAACTCCAAAAAATACATAGAGAGAAACACACATACAGAGGCACGCACATACCCATACACGCACATGCAGAGATAGATAGAGCGAGCGAATGAGAGAGAGAGAGAGAGAGAGAGAGTACATGTTGATTGGATTGAAGAGCATCCTGTCTTAAAGCTGCTAAAGATGGCATCTTTGGTAAGGCTCTCGCCCTAATCAAATCTTTCTTTGTTACTCGAAGAATTGGTACAGTTCCAATCGGACATGGTTCTCTCAACCCAAATTGTACAAACTTTATACGCGAAAGATTGCGACCAAAGCTAGTGACTTGAAACGTCGGTTCTTTCTACAAGAAAAGGAAACCAATTATAGTATACCAAGGAGAATGCTTTATGCAAGTGATTCTATATTGGCTAACAAGCTTTTTTTGTTCCTGGAAAAATCAACGAATATTTACCTGAATTTTGTGATTCTTCAACAAAGGATGTTGTAGCGATGGTTGTTTATCAATGTCAATACAATCGATGGTATCGCCTTCCTCGGTCTGTTTTAAAATATCAAACTCGGTTACCGGTTGTGGAACATACAATCCTTGCGTGAAACTTTATTGACAATACAAATCCCAGCTTAACATCAAATTACATAAAAATAAATCAGAAACATTGCCAATTTATCGGAGAGATTATTACCGTGAATGTCTTAACCGGCGGCCTATTCATCATTTTGACCTGTCTTTCCAACTCTATGTCGTCATCTTCTGAAATTTTCCCAACCTCACCCAGAGAAACACCGAAGAATACGAGCAGCAATGGCAAGAGCTTCATTTTGTATTGCATGGTGGTGTGAGAACTTGCAGATTTTGTGTTAATAAGCAGTGCTTGGGCTACACAGGTTTATATCTTGTGAAAGTCGCGACGAACATGTTTTGTACCAAAATGGGAGTCCGCTGGGTTCTTTACATGACTTCCAAAAATGCTGTATTTACCACTAATTACTTTCCATCGACGTCTATATTAACCAATGTTAATCTTTAACGTCCCTAAATTAAATGCATGTTTTCCTTGAAATAATGGCCCTTTATGGGTTAAAGACAAGAGCATGGAAGGACTAAAGCTGTCCCTTGAAATAAGGCATGGTTGCCATCTTTTCCAGTAATAAAATGCATGTTTTCCACTTGTCTTCGAAACCAGGCCATGTCCTCCCTCATGCATAACTACTATTAAAAGAGTCTTAAGACATGTTTTCATGGCGTGGGATGTTCAGTCAAATCACATTGGTCATATTAATGTGTAATTTATATGTATTATGGGGTATTTATGTAATTATGTTTCTATCTGTACCATTTCTGTAATTAGTCACTCCTATAAATACATATCATACAATCCTAATTGGGGTTGAGCCACCATAAACACTTTGTCGTTGTTTTCTATCTGTCTCCAAACATCAACATGGTATCAGAGCAGGAAAACGAATCAAATTCTTCAACATCTCTACCCCAAGTCAACACTTCCTTTGCTCCAATTACTATCTCAACAATGTCCAATACATCTCTAAATTTTTCTTCTTCTCTACCATCTCTTGACCCACCATCTTCTTTTCCGGTTAATCCCAATTTCCCATCGCCTCCCGATAATAGTGCGCCCACTTTCCCCTCTTCTTCCCTCTTCACTGCTGCTCCGATCTTTGCTGCTGCTCAAATTACGGCTGTGCAATCATCCTCGTCGTCTCTTGTTCTTCCCAACATCACAAGTCTCGTCTCCATCAAACTCGATGCAGATAATTATCTTTTGTGGAAATCTCAGTTTGAATCTATTTTAATCTGTAACGATCTGCTGGGCTATGTGGATGATTCTTTTCCATGTCCGCCGAAGCTTATCAATGATCAGATTGGCACTATAGTGGTCAATACTTCCTATTCCACCTGGGTAAAGACAGATCAATGCGTTCGTAGTTTGATCAATTCAACCCTCACAGTCGAAATTTTCCGTGAAGTTCACGACCTTCGGACATCTCGGGAGATTTGGCTTGCTCTAGGACAACGTTTTACCGATCGCTGCGCGGCCAAGGAAATTGGACTAAAATTGGATTTTCAGAATACTGTGAAGAAACCCGATCAGTCAATGTCTGATTATCTCCAGCATCTGAAGTCAATTGCGGACTCTCTCACCGCAATCAATTGCTCTGTCTCTGACAAGGACTTGGTGATTCAAGCCCTCAATGGGCTCCCATCTGAGCATGATCCTTTTGTCACTATGGTCACAAACGGCCCTACAATTCTCTCATTTGGTAATCTGCGGTCATGCCTCCTCATCCAAGAAGAACGATTTCTCAAAAAATCCAGTGCATCATCTTCATCTGATATTCATCATGCTTTGCTCGGTCATACCACTTCACCCAATCCAACGTTTCAAGGATCTTGAGGTGGACGTAATTCTAGAGGTCGTAGATCTGGTCGAGGACAAGGTGGACGATTCTCGCGTGATAAATCGAATTGGCAATCTTCCCATGATCGGTTCGGTTCACAATCATTATCGGCTCCCTATGCCTCCTCCACCTCCTCTGGTTGGTCTCGTGGTGGTTCAAAGCCCTATGTTCCCCCTTTCACATAGGGAGGTATTCTCGGATCTAGGCCTCATCTTACTTGTCAGATATGTAACGGAGTCAGGCACACCGCACTACAATGTCGACAACGATTCAACCATGCTTTTACCACTACTGATCTGTCGGACTCGTTCTCAGCTCTCTCGGTTGGTGAGACCTCTGATTCAACTTGGTATCTTGACAGTGGAGCGTCGGCACACATGACCAATGATATTGGTAACATCCTAAATCCTAGACCTTTTTACGATTTGACAAAAGTCTCGGTTGGTGATGGTCGTTTATTGCCTGTTAAGCAAGTCAGTAAAGCCTTTTTACATACTGGTTCTCGATCTTTACTATTATCTCCCGTCTATCATGTTCCTAATCTTGCTCGCAATCTTCTCTCGGTTGCTCAACTTTGCCATAAAAATTCTTGTGCCATTGATTTTAATGGTTCATCCTTTTCTTTGAAGGACAAACAAACCGGGAAAGTTCTCCTCCAAGCTGATTCTTCTCATGGTCTTTATCCAATTTCCAACTCAATGGTGTCATCTCATTCGCATCCTATCGTGGCTTCCTCTGCTTCACTCACTAGCTGGCATGCTCGTTTTGGCCATCCAAATAAACAAGTTTTGAGTCGTGTTTGCAATTCTAGTTCTAAGTCAATATCATGTGAGTCATGTCTTGTAGGCAAATCTCATCGATTGCCTTTTGAGTCTGTTATTCATCGTGCATCTTTTCCTTTAGTTGTAATTCATTCTGATGTATGGGCAAGTCCAATTTTATCTAATTCTGGTTTCAAATATTTTGTATTATTCATTGATGATTATTCTCGGTTCACTTGGGTATTTCCCATGAAAATAAATCTGAAGTACCTACACACTTTCATCGCTTTCGTTGTTTTATCGAACATCTGTGCAATGCCAAAATTAAATTTTTACAAACTGATGGGGGAGGTGAATATACCAGTAATGCATTCCAAACATACTTACGTGAAAATGGTATTATTCAACATTTTTCTTGTCCACAAACCCCATCTCAAAATGGTGTATCTGAACGCAAAATTAGACACTTAGTTGAAATGTCTCGAACCATATTAATCCATCCTCATATGCCTTCTTCATATTGGGTTGATGCTCTTCTCACTGCTGTTTACACCATTAATCGACTTCCCACTCCTGTCATATCTAATATTTCTCCTTTCCACTGTTTATTTGGGTTCAAGTTTGATTACTCGTTCTTTCGGGTTTTTGGGTGTGCTTGTTATCCTTTTCTTCCGTCTCGTGTCTCCCATAAGCTGGCACCTCATTCTGTGCCATGTGTGTTTCTTGGGTACGCATCAAATCACAAAGGATATCGTTGCCTTGATCGGTCGAGTGGTCGTGTTTTTATCAGTCGGCATGTTCGGTTTGATCAGGAGAATTTTCCCTTTTCAACAAAACCTTCAAATTATAGTCCCGTATCCCATTGTTCTAGATCATCTCCTTCACTTTTTGTTTACTCCAATCAGTCTATTCTTCCTTCTACTTCCTTTGGCCCTCAAGCTTCTCATCCATCTCTTTCTTCTTCTCAAGCCCAACCTCCTAATTTGCCTCTCTCCTCCTCTCGAACTACCCGATTTACTTCCAATTCTTCTTCACCTCCACCTACCCTCTCTCCGAACTCAGTCACTATGTCTCAACCTCACTCCTCTCCCAACCAAATTCCTCCCATAACAAATCCGCAAATCCCTTCTACATCTCTATCCAGCTCCACCACTTCCATTTCCTCTCTTCCGACTCATTCTATGTAGACTCGTGCCAAATCTGAAATTTCTAAACCGAGGAAAATTTTTAATCTCTCTCATTCTTTTAATGAAGAGACACCGACTTGCTATTCTAAGGCCATTCTTGACCCACGTTGGAAAGCGACCATGGCAGACGAATTTAATGCCTTGGTCACCAATCACACGTGGGATCTTGTACCACCTGATCCTTCTAAGAATTTAGTCGGTTGTAAATTGGTTTTTAAGATTAAGGAAAAATCCGATCGAACTGTAGAACGCTTCAAAGCTCGCCTCGTTGCACAAGGATTTAAGCAGCAAGCCGGACTGGACTATGACAAGACTTTTAGCCCAGTCGTTAAACCCACTACAATTCAAGTTGTTCTCTCTATTGCGATTTGTTCAGGATGGGCCATACGTCAACTTGATGTCAAGAATGCCTTCTTGCACGGCATCCTTTGTGAGGAAGTTTATATGCGCCAACCTCCCGGTTTCTCTCATCCTGAATTCCTGAATCATGTGTGCCGTCTCCAGAAAGCCATCTACGGTTTAAAACAAGCTCCACGTGCATGGTTTCATCGCTTCAACATCTTTTTATTATCTTTGGGCTTCATGGCGAGTAAGGCTGATCCTTCATTATTCGTCTATGCTTCTTCTTGGGGCCGTGTGTATCTTCTACTAAATGTTGATGATATCCTTGTCACCGGTGATACTCCCGAGTTATTACGGTATTTGATTACTCGACTCTCACAGGAATTTGCTATGAAGGATCTTGGACCACTTCACTATTTCCTTGGCATTGAGGCTCATCATCGCTCTGACGGTATGCTTTTATCTCAAGCCAAGTATGTTGATAGCCTTTTGCGCAAGTTTGACCTTATTAAGGTCAAGCCTGTATCTACTCCTCTAGCCTTGAAGACTTTATTGTCTGCTAACAATGGTGAGGTTCTCGCTTCTCCGACGTTGTATCGACAAATGGTTGGTGCTCTACAGTAGGTATCTATGACGAGACCAGATATTAGTTTTGCTGTTAATTTGGTTAGTCAATTCATGCATCAATCACGATTACCTCATCTCCAGGCCGTTAAACGTATATACCGATATTTAGCTGGCACCTTCAGCCATGGATTGCTCATTGAGCGGTGATCTCCCACTTCATTGATTGCTTATGCGGATGCAGATTGGACTGGATGCTCCGATACTAGACGGTCCACCTCCTGGTTTTGTGTTTTTCTAGGCACCAATATTGTTTCATGGAGTGCCAAGAAGCAACCCACCGTGGCCCGTTCTAGTACAGAGGCTGAGTATCGTGCTGTTGCTCAATGTGTTGCTGAGACTATTTGGATTCGCCATTTGCTTCATGAGCTTGGGGCCCCTTTATAATCCTCTCACCGTTTATTGTGACAACATCTCTGCCACCTATCTTGCTATCAATCCTGTGTTTCATGCTTGCACCAAACACATTGAGTTGGATTATCACTTTGTTCGAGAACGGGTTGCTTCCAGAGATCTACATGTTCGCTACGTGCCTACAACAGATCAATTGGCAGATATCTTCACCAAGGGACTACCTACATGTCTTCATCACATTATAGCCTTTTGATCATTCTGATTCTTTTCTCAACTTGTGTTACTACCGGGAAGAACTTAGATGGTTACTATATTCCAAAGCTGAGCGTACACCGCCGAACATTTATTCAAGAACCTACATGGCCAGTTCGAGCTTCTGTCTTGTCAAAGGACTTCCAGACTTTCTTTTTCAACCAAACTCTCGATCATTTTAGTTACAGGCCCGAAAGTTATACTCTTTTCAAACAAAGATATGCGATCAGTTTCAAATACTGGGGTGGTGCGAATGCAAGCGCTCCGATCTTTGTTTATCTTGGCGCAGAAGCACCAATCGACGACAACATAGGTGCTATCGGTTTCCTGACGGATAATGCAGCTCAGTTTGGAGCGCTTTTGGTCTATATAGAGGTAATAAAAAAGCCCCATATTATTTGCTTGGTTGTACGTTCTCTTTACCTAATGTTTGGCGTGGATGTGTATATATTCACCCATTTTACGACCGTAAAAGTTGAAATCTTGCAGCATCGGTTTTATGGTGAATCAATCCCTTACGGGTTGACACTTGACAAAGCACTAAGTGACCACAACACTCGCGGATATTTCAGCTCCGCGCAAGCTCTTGCCGATTACGCGGAAATCCTTGTATACCTGAAACAGAAATTGAATGCGAAACATTCTCCGATAATTGTCATTGGAGGATCATATGGGGGAGGTAAGCGACTATATTTTCACATAGAAGCAATATGACTACAGCTATAAATCTATATTAAAGAAAATAGCCCACTACTTACATTGAAGAGAACAATTTCAATCTGCCGAAAGTCATTGTTCTTGATCACTTTTATGGATAGAGCTTTTCCTAAAGAGCGCTGGTCATATTGACAATGACAATCAATATAAAGTTCGATGGCTTGCCCTGAATGGCATCGATGAAAGTTCCTACCCTCACGTTAAGAGGAAAACATCAACAGCATATGTTCTACATATCACTTATAAGTACTGTCTTTCGATCTAAATATGTTAATTTTCAGTGCTAGCTTCATGGTTCCGATTAAAGTACCCTCATGTGGCACTCGGAGCTTTGGCATCATCTGCTCCAATTCTCTACTTTCACGACATCATACCTCGGGACCAATACTATTCGGTAGTCGCAAAAGATTTTTTGGTAATCTTCATTTGCTCGATTTATACCTTTTTTCCCTTTAGCATGCATTTTCTATAATAAAAATCGATCACTTGAACAATTGCTTGGGTAATTTTTCAGGAAACTAGTTTTTCTTGCCACCAAACCATAAGACGATCCTGGGAGGAAATTGATAGAGTTGCTTCTGAGCCTCGTGGTCTCATGAAATTGAGCAAAACTTTCAAAACTTGCAGGTGCGCGGATGATGGAATTGAGATCATGCATCTTTTTGTATTTTGGGGACTTTTTCTGTATGTTCTGTAGTATAAGTAATTCTTAAAAAATAAAAAGCTGTTAGGCATATCTAATTTATAGCATACACCGACGGTGAAAAGAACCTTTACACAAGCGGGTTGTCCCTTCTTGATTTGAGAGTTTCAGCTATCAACTCCCTCCCTTACCTTCAAATTTACGGCGGATAAGACCGTTTGTGAAAACCTTTTTTTACACTGACAATTTATTCCATAATAGCATGAACTTTCACTAAACAAAGCGAATGCGTCAAACATGATATAATGGTTTCAAGCTCGGATATTAGCTTAAAAAATATTAGGAAGGATATGCTTTATAGACGAATATACATCTAATTATGCATATCTTTATCTTTTGTTAGACCTTTGGAAAGTTCTTTGCAGCTCAAGGAGCACTTGATATCGGTCTACGTGAATGCTGCTCAGTACAATGATCCATTCGAACGTCCAGTGAAAATGATATGCAATGCCATTGATGGACCTTCTCCGAGAAATGACATTCTCAGGAAGATTTTCGCAGGCCTCATCGCTTCAGCCAAAAATTTGACATGCTACGTCAATCCACCTTCTCCACGTCCATCTCAAACCGATTTGGGTTGGCCTTGGCAGGTACACACTATAATCCGATATCACGAACGGATTTTAGTTTACTACCATCAGTTGAAATCCACTTGGATTGATTATGAAAAAACGAAGCTAATTTCAAACTCGAGGGATGAATGGACAACTCCAAGATTCGGCATTATATGCGTCTTATATTTCTGAGCAGTCTGTAGTCCCATGGTCGAGCAGGAGTGGTTCGCGAATAGTTTGATTCATTTAAGTCCTAATTGGCTATACCTAATGGTGATGTGCTTAGCAGATTAGGAGTCATGAACACAATTTCCAACTTTTTCGCCATGATTAGTCAATCCTCGAGTTTTGTATTGTACTAAGAAAATGGAGGTTGTTTGGCTATGCAGTCATGTAGCGAGTTGGTGGCTCCTGATGACACCACCAACAGTACTATGTTTCAACCAAAACCCTTCAGCCTAAATGAGTTCGTGAATGACTGCAAGAGAAGCTTTGGCGTCGCACCTCGGCCACACTGGGTCACTACTTATTACGGTGGTCATGTATGATCACAAAACATATATATAGAATACTCCTTTAATTTTCATATATATATATATATATATGCACACACACCATTCTTTATGACCCAACAACATATGACACTCTTTAGTTTCTCAATTGACTATGGAACATTGCAGGACATAAAACTTGTTTTGCACAGGTTCGCTAGCAACATTATTTTCTCCAATGGGCTTCAAGATCCTTATAGCAGTGGAGGGTACGTGTAGTATCAAGACCAGTAGATTCCTATGAAAATATCATTGAATTGGACAAGATTTCAAAATGATTCTTATGTATCATCAATTATAGGGTCTTGAAGAATATTTCAGATACTGTTGTCGCCGTGTACACAGCTAAAGGTATCTATGGACTCGATTTGCGTCGAACCAAAGAAATGGAATGGATTATCTTTCCATCTATAGGATTTTGATTGGATTTATGACACTAATGATGTAAAAATAATTTCTTACATGCAGGTTCTCATTGTTTGGATATAGTTCCAGCTACGGAGAAAGATCCTATATGGTTGATCAAGCAGCGGAAAACCGAGGTTGAGATTATAAGAAAATGGATTGCCACATATTATGCTGATCTTCGTGCTTTTGGAAAATGATTAATATACATCACACGGGAATGTCATTACATTGAATAATGCCAATAGTGTTGAGAGACTAGAGTTGTGTGCTTTGTCTATGTTCTTGTGTGAATGGGGAACTGAGATATCAAAATCTTTAAACATAAAGAAAAACTAAATGCAATAGTACACTTTGAATTATGTGAATTGAAAAATGCTCATATTGTCGGGAAATGGGTTCGACGTGTTATTGTCACTTATTGTGTGTAAACATGTTTCAAAGGTTTGTTGTGTATACTAGTTAATTTAAATTAGTAAACATGTTAGCATACGACGGCACCAAATACAGTAGCGCATTGCATAATCGCGTTAATCTTGTCGTGTCGGGTGATCCGCTTGATCAGGCGTGTCGTGTTCATGTCAAGGCAGTCGTGTCTTGTTGTTTGGGTTAGCCATATCCATGCTATACCATTGTTTCGACATGACACGGTTAGCACGACATGACACGGTTAGCACGACAATGACTCTAATTGCCAGACCCACTTGAAATAACACTACATTTATAGGTTATTTCTTGATCTGATCATGAGTCACCGGCTTATAAGGTCAAAGCAGGCTTGCCCGAGCCGAGAAGGATTGAAACCCAAATTGGGCGGACCTAACAAGCAATTTTCCTTCTAAGCTCGAGTCCGTCCACATAGGCCCACTTGAGTGTGCCTAGGCTCAATGATTTTATGAAAAGGTACTTTTGAAGCCGTTACGCAACCTGACCCACCAAACTTCAAAAAATTTTGTTATTTTCCTTCCTTAGTCACCCTGCGGATCCCGGACGCCGCGGGAGTGGCATAACTCCGATGCAGCGTGTGTGGTGGGTAGCGTGTCGCTTTGAGGGTTTCTTTCATTTGTCGGCCGTGCGGGGGTTCCCTGGGTTACCAAAAAAAATAAAATAATAATAATAATAATGTTTGATAATATTGAATCTTAGATTGTGTCCGACGGTCGATCATTTTCTGTCCACTAAGACCGTCCGCCGGAATTAAGAGCTGCGGCAAATGAGGTTGATCTATAAATCCGGTTAAATTTCTTTTATAGGGAAAAAGGCACAATCAATTTCTTGCATAAAATGTAGAACTTTGATTCACACTGAGCACCTTGGCAACGAAAAAAGATAGTTAATGATTCCTTGCTTCTTGGGTTTTCGATGAGGTGGTATGCTAGGTAAATTTTCATGGACAATTCTCACATGAGAACCCACACTTATGGAGTCACGGAAATCCAACCGTCTCCCTAATTAGTGAAGCCCTACTATTTATAGGCTAATCCAATATAATTTATTAGCTAACATAAGCTTATATATAGCTAAAAGAGAACCCCCTCAACATACAATATCTTTCTTCAATCCAGGATTAAGATCTATCTGCATATATAAGCTTATGTTAGCTAATATAAGATCAATCTGCAGTATCGACTAGACAATGGAATTGAAGTTTCTCCATTGAAAGCGAGAACTTGCCCAATATTTTCAGGTTCCGGGTAGTGCGAACTCTTTGATCAATGGGCTTTTGTTTGGTTGTGTTGTTGTCTCTGGTAGATTAAACCCCTAGATTGCAAGTACAAGTAAATAGCTTAGTTCTAGCAGATAGCAAATTTTTTCACGTTGATCTCTAGCCTGTCTTCGACGTAAATAGATGTTCCAAATTTCAAACGGATGGGCTGTTTCGTCATCCTTTGCTGGCTTGTTCTGCTGTTTGTTGGATTCAACCAAGATCATGTCTCTTGTACACTAAGCATCCTGTAATCAATGGGCAAGTGTGGGACGGTGTATTTAAAATTGTCTTTCCTGTCAAAGTTCTGAGAGTCGATTTGGGTAAATCATGGACTAGTATCATGATTGTGTGATGGTGTTTGGACAGACATATAAGATTGCTCATAGCGCAACCTCCTGCATTGCGATATTCCGCTGAACTCTTCATGTGTCCTTGCATGATGTTGGGTTGTCTGTATTTCTTTTGCAGAGATGTGCAAGTAATGAGCATATGCATAGTTTTTGGCCATTTGGAGCTTAATTATATTGATTCTGTAGATTTTATTTGGTGGATGATGATTGGCATCTGCTTTCATGGAATGAGAGAACATAAGCATCTGCATAAATTCTTTGGGCTCTGGCATGGTGACCTACATGACCTGTCCCTCTGGTCCAATTTACCCACCAATTATCATCCCTCTAAGACATGACCAAAACTGCTGAGAAAGAAGATCTTACCGACTATTCAATCTGATGCACGGGTCACTAATTTAATGCAGTATTAGGAAGCATCATCAAACATTGCAGTGCATAGGGTCCTCATTAACTTGGTTTTTCTGTCACTCTCTTCACGGCTGAATCACGAGCCTGTCATGGCCAATGCCCACGTAATCGTCACTCGTTGATTGATTCCCCTTTTTTCTGCACCTTTTCCTATCCAAGACGGGAGAGAGTGATTAAAACAAAAGAACTTCCTGTACTTCTTTGGCGAATGCATTGAAGTATGCCACTAAGTGTACAAGTGCAGTGCCCTGTGTGAAACCTCCAGCCGAAAAGGTTGATCTAATGACCTATGCTATGGACTGCAAGATTCCTTGGCATTATTGCTTTTTTTTGGTAAGGCATTGGCATTATTGCTTTGTGCCCTACAAATTCGAAAAATTGGAATCATGGTATTTGAGAGCTCCGGTGTTTTGGCATTATGTTAATGATAGTTAGCAAGCTGTGCAGATTACGGTACGTTTGATTTCGAACAGTATGAGCTGCTTTATAGGAGGCAAAGAAAGAGTTGATGGCCAAAAGAAGAGGAGTTGGCACGAATCTAAAACTTCCACATTGAGGCATGAGTTGTTTGCCACCCTAAACTTTGTTAATGGTTCAGCTCATTTCTAGGGATCAAAATGAATGAGAATCAATGCAAAACAGCAAAAACAACAGCAACAACAACAGTAAAAACAAAGAATCATCATCCACAAAGTAATTTGCCCCTCCTCACTGGATCTTTTTTCATTCACCTCTTCGTAGTTCTCAAGATCCCTCTCCATTTCTCCTTTCTCCCATAATGGCTTCAATCTCTTTCGCGTGAGAAAACTCTCATTTCTCTCCAATCGAACCACCCTCTTTTTCAGCCAGGGCGGGCAACGGACGGACTCGGACCTGGATTACCGGTGTGCCGGGGAGGACAAGTGCTGCGATAGGCTATGCGGCATGACGGTCGAGAGGAATTGGTCCGGTCCTCTGACCCCGCCGCCTTATGAGCACATCGAGAGCGGGCATCTAATCGGCGGGGCCTCAAAGGGCACGAAGGGCCGGCACCGCCGGCTGCACAGCTCTGGGCCCATGGCCTTCGGCGGGAGCTGGGGTGTGGGGCCGGCAGGGGAGTCGAGGCTGGTCCGGAGCTAGGGGATGAGGAGGGAAACTTTATACACGACATGGTTCTCTCAACCCAAATTGTACAGACTTTATACAAGAAAGATTGCGACAAAAGCTAGTGACTTGAAACGTCGGTTCTTTCTACAAGAAAAGGAAACCAATTATAGTATACCAAGGAGAATACTTTATGCAAGTGATTCTATATTGGCTAACAAGCTTTTTTAGTTCCTGGAAAAATCAACGAATATTTACCTGAATTTTGTGATTCTTCAACAAAGGATGTTGTAGTGATGGTTGTTTATCAATGTCAATACAATCGATGGTATCGCCTTCCTCGGTCTGTTTTAAAATATCAAACTCGATTACCGGTTGTGGAACATACAATCCTTGCGTGAAACTTCATTGACAATACAAATCGCAGCTTAACATCAAACTACATAAAAATAAATCAGAAACATTGCCAATTTATCGGAGAGATTATTACCGTGAATGTCTTAACCGGCGGCCTATTCATCATTTTGACCTGTCTTTCCAACTCTATGTCGTCATCTTCTGAAATTTTCCCAACCTCACTCAGAGAAACACCGAAGAATACGAACAGCAATGGCAAGAGCTTCATTTTGTATTGCATGGTGGTGTGAGAACTTGCAGATTTTGTGTTAATAAGCAGTGCTTGGGCTACACAGGTTTATGTCTTGTGAAAGTCGCGACGAACATGCTTTGTACCAAAATGGGAGTCCACTGGGTTCTTTACATGACTTCCAAAAATGCGGTATTTACCACTAATTACTTTCCATCGACGTCTATATTAACCAATGTCAATCTTTAACGTCCCTAAATTAAATGAATGTTTTCCCTTGAAATAATGGCCCTTTATGGGTTAAAGACAAGAGCATGGAAGGACTAAAGCTGTCCCTTGAAACAAGGCATGGTTGCCATCTTTTCCCGTAATAAAATGCATGTTTTCCACTTGTCTTCGAAACCAGGCCATGTCCTCCCTCATGCATAACTACTATTAAAAGAGTCTTAATACATGTTTTCATGACGTGGGATGTTCGGTCAAATCACGCTGGTCATAACGATCTTTTGTCCTACCGAAACCAAGCAAACAATGACCACGTCCAATGAGGCAATTTTATACACAATTTAGATGCAAATATCACAATATGTATTTATATATCCTATATGAGTCCAGTGGGTTTATGTTCTTATGATTATCATAAATCAAAATCTAGGAAGAACATGATCAATAAATCTACTAAAATCACACTAATGTTCTAGAGGCAATAAGAAATAGGGCCATACAAAAGCATTCAACTCACATAATCATTAGAAATATATATTAGGCTCAAACAAGTCCGAAATACACGATAAAGCGAAACGATATTATTTGGTACACAAAGCTATTAAGGGATAATTGTCCAAAAAGTTTTAAACCTATTGCACGGCTATCTATTTAGTTCTAAATCTTTCAATTGTGACATTTTATTCCTAACATATTGACGATTTGCCAATTAGTCTATGTATGATCCCGAATGTTGACACCTAATTTTTAGCTCATTTTTTTTAAATTTTTTCAAAAATCACAAAATTAGGATTAGGAACCTTGGCCAAGCTTAGGAACCTATTTCTAAACCAAAAATAAATTTTTTATAATTTTCCTGAATTTTTTCTCAATTTCTTTTAATCAAAATAAGGGAGAAAATTAAGAAAAATATCAAATGGAATCAAAAAATTCCATAAAAATATCCATTAGTCTTATTTTAAATCCAATTTCATCAATACAGCATCAATTTTATAAAATATCAACTGGGAATGTGTTTTTCCCAAAATTGGGTAAAATCAAGCCCAAATTGAGCCAAAAATTCAATTGACTCATTTCCAGTCAATTTTAGGCCATAGTGTCTTCACAACAAATGATTCTAGGACCTTGAATTGCATAATTGTCGGTCAAATTGAACAATTTACCAAAGAAATTAAAAAGCGCCAAAATTCAATTGAAAATTAGGGATTTTAAGCCCAAATTGGGGATCATAACCAATTCGAAATTGTCGAACCCTGATATCATTATTTCTAGGGTTAATCAGGTGTGGGTAATCCAATTTTGGCACCAATTTTTCCCAATCAGGTCATCTAGATATTTAATTAGACAAAAACCCCAATGATCTGAATTTACAATTTGAAAATCTTTAGTTTAATTGTGATAAAAATTGGGGCAAATCACATATTTGGGTGTGAAATATGATGAAGAATTCAAGTTTGGGGTTGAAATAAAAAAATTGGGTCAAAATCGGGCTTAATTTGTGATTTCAGACCAACCTGGGCCTGTCGGGTCAGCCGGGTCAACTCGACCTGACCCAGGTCGGTCTCCTTCTTCACCTGACTCGCTCAAAGCATACTCTCATTTACCCCAATGTGATGAAGAACACATCGTGCATGTCTACAAAGATTGCCCTTAAAAGTAAACATTGTTGAGATATGACATGAAAATATCTAACTTTATTACTGTGATTTACCAAACAGTGGATTGGGTATTGCAAAATTCTTGAATTTGATGTCATATTTTATCGAGTCCTATCCTAGCTATAAATGTCATGATTATTGCATGCCCAAAATGGATAAGGTACTTGTTGAGTATGAACCAGCTCTATTTGGAATCAAAGCTCGATATATGTAAGATTCTAATCCTCCATTACAGCTGCAGCAACTTCCCGGTATCACCGTGGCTTTGAAACAAGTAGTGTTTATATTGGTTTTGCTTTCCATCTACAGGTGTAGATCTACAAATATATTGGAAGATGATGACATCGATTTGGAAGAGCAACTCAAGCTTCTAAATAAGTCACCGGTCGAGACACTCTTGGTAATGCAATAGAAACCCGGAAAACCGTTTCATCTTTCAAAACCATTTCCTAGTAATAATATTAGTCTATTTTTTTGCCATGAAGACCGATGAAGGAGATACTATTGATTGTGTCGATATTGACAAACAACCAGCGCTTGATCATCCTTTACTTAAGAATCACAAAGTTCAGGTTACATTATTCCTCATTTCATTCGTAATTTACTTGCAGGATGGATTGTTGAACAATGCACATAAGTAAAACTTTTTGTTATGTGCTAACTGCGTACTGTCTTTCTTTTTATGTGTTTTTTGTTTAATAGAGAAAACCCAATTTGCTTTTGGGTCCTTTTCCAAACATTCCTCTAGTACAAAGCATGTGCAATTTTCGATCAAGAAAGCCTTGTCCGATTGGAACGGTTCCCTTTCAACGAATCCAAAAAGAAGATTTGATAAGGACAAGGTCCCTTCCTAAGATGCCTTATGCGAATATGGTCAAAGATGGATATGCTCCTTTCGGGCAACATGTTCTCTCTCTCTCTCTCTCTCAGACATATATGGTCGATCCAGTATGTGTATTTTTCAGCGAGTAGTCTTACGGCACGATCGTCCTGATGTCATAAAGTATGGTGCCAACGCATGTATCTCTATCTACAATTTAAGTGTTGCTCGTGATCAATCTAGTGCGCATAATATATGGATTTCGACGGGACCTGTTGATCGAATTAGCATGATTGTAGCCGGTTGGCAGGTAAGTATATTTTATTGTACATAAATCAATATTGAAGGAGGATTTCAACCTTATTTTTTTTAAAGTTCCATGAATGCCCTTATGTGCTGTTTAATTATGATGTACAATCGAAAAAGATCATAATTACCTCTTCATACTCGCTATGTAGTACCACAAATCTTCCATATTCTGAATGCAAATTTCAATCTTTTTTCCATTCTACAACAACAATTGAATATTCACTTGTGTGAATGATATGAATTTGAAAACATTCTTGCTTTTTCTTTTCACGCAATTAAATTTTCATGTCAATCTTTCCTAGTATCACGAAGACAAGCATTTTATTTCGAGGCATTGATTAGCTATCTCATGAATGTAGCGACGTATGGTTGGTATATTTAGTTAAAATTATATGTTGTTGTATTAGGTCAATCTAGATGTGACTGGCGATGGTCTTACTCGACTGTCTACATATTGGACGGCATTTCTTCGTATTTTTTTTTTGACAAATCAAATTTCTTTTTTCACTTGTGGAGCTAGCATTAGCCTGATTTATCTTATAACTAGAGCATTATTGGTCACAGGGAGATGGTTGGCGCGATGGTTGCTACAACACATTGTGCCTAGGTTTTGTACAAGTGGATAGAATAATAACTCCCAATTATCCTATGATTACAGTTTCTAAATATGGCGGACCCATATATGAACTCAAAGTTGAAGTCTCCCAGGTGATTTCAGTTCTTCTGCACGATCAAGAGACTCGACTTATCTCAATAAATGAGAACCTGAACGTGTACTTACGATTGCCTCCATTGTTGTTGTCGTCACAGGACGTATCGACTGGGAACTGGTGGCTGCGCGTTCATGACCCGCCGATCAACGTGGGCTATTGGCCGAAGGAGTTGTTCGTGAACTTACAGAAGGGCACATTCACCACGGGGTGGGGAGGAATCGCTAAAGAAAGCGAGAATGGGTATTGCCCGCCCATGGGCAACGGTCTGTTGCCGGATGCTGATTATCGAAAAGCAGCTTACTTCAGAAAGGCCCAATGGATGAATGCAAAAGGAGAGAGTTTTCCTCCTTACGAAGGGATGCCCATGGTGGTGGACGGTGGTTATGGTCTGCTGGATATGAATCTTAGGGAAGAACCATGGGGTTACTATTTCTCCTTCGGAGGTCCGGGAGGATACTGCAGAGCATGAGGGCATTCTCTGGACATACTTACTTATGTTTCGGGTGTAAACTATCCTATCAAAATGGGTCACACATCCGTTTCTTAATACGTATTTGATGAGCCGACTTGTTATATTGGTTAGTAAATACTCAATAAATGGGTGGTTTAAAATGGTTAAGCCGAAAAAAAGTACTCTATTCTTTTCTTTTATGAGATATATGTGCACGTGGTGTTATTTGAATTAGCAGCTTCGGGGGGAAGTAAATTCTCAACAAAATACCTACGTAGACCCGTCAAATGGATGGATCAGGTTGGGTTTGGTTAATGGTCCAACCTAAATTGACGCATTTAACCCGTTTTGACCCATTTATGTCCATTGAAAATTTTGAGACTCATACGCGACCCGAAATCCATTTTTAGCAACTTTTCTCCTTAAGTTATATATTGCCTTTGAAGAGCGGGCAGCTTCATGGACTGATTTATCAAATTAGCAAGAGAGCTTGGGGGTCGGGTTACAAATGATGGTGTGAAGGTGGTTGTAAAAGTCTGGCGCTGCCCATCCATAAATCATAAAACAGGTTCGGGATTTAGTTTTTTGTAGCCACTTGACCTTCATTTAATCTTCACATTCCCATTTAAAATTCTGTATTAGTTCCTAATCACCTATGCCATCGACCCATGTAATTAAGAGCTGGTCGTGAGCACTTTCATTTAATAAGAGTTTATACTTGATCAATGCCACGAATGAAGGTGATTAATTATCATGTAACAAAAAAAGAAAAAAAAAACAACCTGCCGTTGCCTCTTCTCCATATGAAAATTTCCTAAGCTCTTGCTCTAGAGGACTCTATTATCATAGTTTTTGGTGGTCTTCGAATACTGCAATTTTCAAGACATTTTACCGGACAAGTAGAGATAGCGATATTAAGATATTTCGGAAAAAGCATGAAGATCTAGCTAATACAAAAAGACTTCGGGCATAATATAGATTATTTTAATTTTTTGACGCAAATATTTCCAAATTAATGATCCCTTCGCTTCTTGAGGAGCATCTTGAATAAGAATGTGACTTCATGACAAGCCAAATTTGAATACGAAATTTGCACAATAAATAATGCAATGAAAAAAAAGAACAAAATATTTTGGTAGGACATTCTTACACTTATGCCCTCAAGGCTATTTACCACTATAATTAGTGTACCTCAATCATCGCTAAAGTGAGTGGGATGAGCCTGACCTATTTATTAAACGGGTTGAAAGTGGGTTCATAACAGACCCACCAAAACCCACCTATTTTGAAATTTTACTTTTAAAATCCATTATGACCCATATTTTAAAGTTCGAGATGATCCATCTAAAGAAATGTGGGTTAGGATATGAATTTATGACCTATTTTGATAACCCTATACATATGTCATAGAAATCAGCAACATCAGGGCAAGTAACGAGTCGTCGATCACGACATTCGCAGTAATTGACGGTGATCATGAATCAAGTTTACCTGAAGGCATTTTGAATAGCATGAAACTCCGCTATATGATAGATACTGATGAATGGTTTTTGTTTCGGCCGAGAATGTATTTAATTATATTATGGGAAAACTACCAAAAAAGTCCTAAACCTTTTACAGTTGTGCCAATTCAATCCTAAACCTTTTTTTTTTGCCAATTCAGTCCTAAACCTTTTGCAAACCAGCTAATTCAGTCCTTTTGGCCGGTCGGCGCTGACGTGGCCGCTGGCCGGCGTCCACGTGGTAATATTTTAATATTTTTTTATTATTTTCGAATTCTTTTTCCTTTTTTCTTTTTTTTTTCTTTTCCTTCTCCCCCCTGGCCTGTCCGGCCGGGGGGGAGGCTCGCCGGCGAGGGCCCAGCTCCGGCGAGGCGCTCGGATGCCGGCTGGCGGCCCGTTAGCCAGCCGGCGGCCACGTCAGCACCGGCTGGCCAAAAGGACTGAATTGGCTGGTTTGTAAAAGGTTTAGGACTGAATTGGCAAAAAAAAAAAAGGTTTAGGACCGAATTGGCACAACTGCAAAAGGTTTACGACTTTTTTGGTAATTTTCCCATTATATTATCTTACAGTATTAAATTGATGAGGAGCGATCGCAGGCATGCTGCTTTCTTGTTTTTACTTTGAATTGAGCTCTTTACACGGATGATTATTGAAACTTTGCTTCAAGGATAACGAATTTTCATTTTTACACTTGACCACCAATTACAAGAACAAAATAAATAAAATGATAATATTGATTGTCTTATCAAGACTAAGGAAGGTTATACCGTTAATTGTTCGATATCGACAAATGCTCAACGTGGAATTAACATGTTAGACTTAAGGTGTTGCAAACAAGTAGTTGATTCATATTTTCGACACATGTAGTGTACACATATTTTGTGCCTTGCAAGTCTGGTTCCCTCCTAATAGAATTGATCGGTTCAAGGTCTAGAATCGGGGATTGAGCGGATAAAAATTGCCATCTAAATTTTGTTTTTGAGAATCGAGCTAGTCTCCATTCAAACTTACCTGAAACTGGCTGGGTAAGGCCGGTTTGGGCCGATCCTCAAATTGAACCAACTCGATTATTTACCCCTACAGCATAAGACCCAACTCGCCATCCGACTAGCCGTACCTGGGGATGTGCCCAAGGCAGAACTAGAAGCGTTCTAGCCGGCTCGGTCCAATGTCCGGCCTCACTTACACTTTATCGAAAAAAGAAAAACAAAATCAGACAAACCCGAGTTGAAAACGGTTTGCCAATTGTCACTTGTCGTGCGGATATCTTAAGGGTTAATATAACGAAAAACCTCAAACTGGTACACCTGTGATAATTTTATCTTGAACTAATTTTTTAATCACAAAAAAACCCTAAACTGGTACACTTGTGACAATTTTACCCTAAACTAATTTTTTGACTACGAAAAACCCTAAACTGGTACATTTGCGATAATTTTACCCCGAACTAATTTTTTTACCACCAAAAACCCTAAATTGGTACACATGTGATATATTTACCTTCTGTTAGTTTCTGTTAAATTTTATTGCCAAATTGCTAAGTTTGATGACACGTGGTAGTTGACGGGTGTACCAGTTTTGGATTTTACCCCTCTATTTGTCACAAATTTACGAATTTGTGATTTTTCATGATATTAATCCAATTTATTGGAGGGTAAATTTGTCACAAGTGTACCAGTTTGAGATTTTTGGTGGTCAAAAAATTAATTCTGGCTAAATTTATCACAGATGTACCAGTTTGAGGTTTTTGGTGGTCAAAAATTAGTTCAGAGTAAAATTGAGTGTACTAGTTTAGGGTTTTTTGCGATTAAAAAATTAGTTCGGGGTAAATTTGTCATAGGTGTACCAGTTTGGAGTTTTTTATGGTCAAAAAATTAGTTCGGGGTAAAATTGTCATAAGTATGTCAGTTTAGAATTTTTCGTGGTATTAATTCATATTTTAACAGGGAAGGCGAAAATTCCACGTGGGCAGCTGCTTCAAGCTCAGATTCTCCTACGTGTCGCCCCGTCATTGGGTGCACGGATATCCAAAAGCCTTATCGTTCAACTTATTCAATCCCAAAGCCCACAGATCAGTCAAAACCACGAAAAGGACCACCTTTGCGGGTCCCACGACATGTCCCTCCCGCTCTCTCCACCGTCCGTTTTCCTCGGTCTCGGAATCCAACGGGCCAAAGCCCCTCAGCCGCCCTTCTCTCTCCTCTCCCCTCTCGCTCTAAAAAATCCGAACGCCAAGAAGAAACGAACGGTCAATCCGGCGACAGAGAAGAGACAGCGAGCGAGCGAGCTATGCGCTCCGATTCGGAGCCCCGAAGAGACGGCGGCCGCGACCCGGAACGGAGCGCTTGACGGGCCGCCGCGCGCAGCCGCCGGACATGGAGCTGTCCCTGCCGTCCCTGTCCCGGAGCACTCCGGCAGCTTCGCTCGCGTCCTCGTCCTCCTCCTCCAGCGGAGCTGCGAAGAATCTCTACTACGGTCACGGCGGTGGGGGGAGGCGGCGGGCGGGCTTCGGCGGAGCCGGGCCTCAGCCGCGGGTGCGGTGCGTCAAGTCCTCCGCCGAGAGGACCGGCGACGGGATCGATACGAACAGGGAGAGAGACGGCGCGGGAGGAGGACGCTTCGCGGGTCCTGCCATGGAGGTGACCACATTTGACCGCAGCTTCGGCGATTCGGAGTTCCCCATTTGGGAGAAGATCGGCGCTGTCGTGCGGCTCAGTTACGGAATCGGTCCGTGCGGTTTGCTTCCCTCGTTTATTCTCTTTTCTTGCAATCATCTACTTTTCCTAGTCGCTCTCGTTTGTCGTTCGCCTTTCATCATTCCTAGTTAGTTTGGTGCTCGATGATGAACATTGAAGATTTGCAAGACTGGTGGTTGATGAAAATTCGAGATTTGTGTCTTTACCAGAAGTAGCTGTGTCGTTGAAATCGGAAAGTCAACTTAGGTCGTGTCTTGTCTGTGGAAAAGGTGGTCTTAGGAGTTGGTACAGTTGCTGAAACTTTTGGAGTGTTTTGCTCCCCGTAGCCCGAGAAATGTTGCAATTCTCCCTGCGCCCTCGACTTTTTCAACTACTTTCGGAAAGCATTTGCGTTCCGTAGGAATGGTTGCTTTCGTCTTCGCAAAGGGTGCAGAGTAAAGGACTAGAGGCGCTTTCGATGATGGTTCTCGCCTTTTTCCTGCTTTCTTGATGTACCCATGTGAATTTGCTGTCTCAGGCATATACGGGGCAATGGCGTTGGCCGGCCGGTTCATTTGCTCGTTCACCGGGATTGATTGCATGGGCGGGTTCCATCCTTCACTGGACGCGATCCTCGAAGGGCTCGGATACGCCGCGCCTCCGATCATGGCTCTTCTGTTTATACTAGATGTATGTGCACCTCTTCTAGTGATAATTGTATCGATTCACGTTTTAGATGAATTAGATTTTCGCAGGCGGGGCTTCCCCGCAGCCCGAAAAACTTCAAATTTTGTGCATGAGGCGGAACTTTGGGAACTTTGAAGCTTTAGTTTTTCGTTAG